ACGCATGTCCTCTGTAATGGTGGTTGAAGCATCAGTGGACATATGAATCTTTAGCACATCTGGCATGTAAATATCTTGCAACGCTTGCTACAACAGTGCATTGCAAATGCCTGTTCTCACTTTCAGGTGACATTGTAAACAAGAAGCAGGAAGCATTATCTTCTGCAAATGGAAGCAAACTTGCTTGTCTGAGAGATTGGCTGAACAAGTAGTAGGACTGATTGGACTTGTAGTCTCTAAAGTTGTAGATTGTTTTATTTTTGAATTCGGGGTGAGATTTGTACATAATTCTACATTTGTAAGTTTACAGTGCAAATATTTGTAATCAAAAATAAATATAAAGTGAGCACTGTACACTGTGTATTCTGTGTTGCAATTGAAATCAATATATTTGAAAATGTAGAAGACATCCCAAAATATTTAAATAAATGGTATTCTATTATTAACAGTGCTATTAATCACAATTTTTTTAATCGTACAATTAATCATGATTAATTTTTTTAATCGCTTGACACCCTATTAATAACTAATACCCTTTATTGAAATTCTAGCATTCATGTGCTGAGGCTAAATTTTGGGGTTGAACTAGTTATAATTTTCAGCATGGGCTGTGCACGCACAGGCAAAGATTATAATACTGTAGATCGGGTCGGCAACGTTCGGCAAGCGGCTCGCCAGGGTAAGCACCCTAGCGGGCCGGGCCAGTTTATTTACCTGCTGACGCGGCAGGTTCGGCCGATCGCGGCCCCCACTGGCTGTCCCGGGCCAATGGGGCGGCGGGAAGTGGCGCGGGCCGAGGGAAGTGCTGGCCACGGCTTCCCACCGCTCCCATTGGCCCGGGATGGCGAACCGCGGCCAGTGGGGGCCACGATCAGCCGAACCTGCCACGTCAGCAGGTAAATAAACTGGCCCGGCCCGCTAGGGTGCTTACCCTGGCGAGCCGCGTGCCGAACGTTGCCGACCCCTGCTGTAGATGCACTTCTTTTCTGGTTGGGAGTTCAGATGCGTTTCAAGTTTTCCTACTTCATTTGTTTGTGAATAGTTGATCTCTTTCATTATGCCAACATATATGTAAAACAGAATACATGCTCCAGTCTGGTAGGGATGTCTCCTGAACAGAGGAAGGAAGATTTTGAAATAATGAAATTTAAATCTTTTTAAATGGGTTTGACCCACTGTCACCAAAAACAAACTTGAATAAAAAATTTAGATAAGTCACGAAGGGGTTTGATTAAAAATTTCTCTTGTTTCCCGTTAAAAATCTAACATGAAAAATACATTACATTCTGGTACTACTAAGTACACAGTGAGTTTGTTTGAAAAATGAAAATCTGTTACGAATTCCATGAAAATAATTTGACAATCATCCCTTCTTATGGTAATGCAAATTCAGAAATGATGTTTATGGAACATCATGAAATCAATGTTTGTGTCAAGAATAACATGGCGATTATTGTAAAAAATATTGGAGTTAGAGTGAAGAGCTTGCTGCTAGGGAAGGAGATTAATATATTAAAGTTAATTGTGTATATAGTTTATCTCAGCATTAAGTGCAATACAGTCATCCAGATATCTAAAAGTGAGCAATCTTTTTGCTGTGTGTTGGCCAGTTGCCAGATTACTGGTGAATTGAAGTATGCTGCCTGTGGCTTAGCCACACCAAGACTGGAGCATTAGTGCAAGATATGGGTAAATGGCAGCAGCATGGAGTTTGACCTCACAGTGTCACCTCCATGGTTACAGAGTTAGACTGATTGTCCCCTCAGAAATGACCATAGGGATTACTTGCAAATGTAGAGCTCCTTGTTAAAATGGCACCTGTTCTTAGTCATTTTACATGCTGCTTAAAGAGGTAGAGCAAATGAAATCAAATATCTTGTGATTTGCCAAGAGGCTTCATCTTCTGGCAGGTGAAATAGTTCTTTAAAATATCAGGACTTGCTGGAGTTCTTCTCTATTGAAGAAAAGGGAAAAAAATACAATCAAATCAGATAATACTCTTCTGACCTTGCTTAAATGTAAACTAATCTGAGTGAGAAAAGACCCTTTTTATACAGTAGAAGGGAATTAAGGATGGTCAGAAATGACGGATACCTGTTAAACAGAGGGATTCTGCTCTATCTAAGGTAAGGGAGTGTGCTGCTCCAGGTGCTTTCACCACAATCTTCCTACTTCTGGAGTAGGGAGGGGACCATTAGCATCACCCCCACAAGCTTTTGTTCCCAGAAGGAATCCGTGCTCCAGCAGAAGTGACATATAACTTCAATTATAACAATACTAGCCTTGTGTATTGGATTGGGTGGCAGCCTGTTCATAGTGGGTTTTTTACGCTTATGCTCAAATATTGAACTGTGCTGTACTTTCTGAACTTTGTGCTTGCATGTGATCTAATTATTTTGTGATTACTGTAGAACAGTGGTTCCCAAACTTTTACAGCCTGTGAACCCCTTTCACTAAAATGTCAAGTCTCGCGAACCCCCTCCTAGAAATGAATATTTCCAGGGATTTTCTCCTTTACCTGAGTATAAATTATAAAAGCAGTGATCTTGGAAATATAAAATTTGTTTTTATGACATGCTTATTACACACTATTTATTATTATTTATCATGACAGTATTTTTATTACATTATGAAAACGGCAACACTCTTCCAAGATCTCACTTTCGTAGCTTGTATCACTTTGAATAAGCCTGTTATAAGACAAGGCTCATATGTTTCATCAAGGAGTATCAGATGTGAAACAGCATGAAGATATTTAAGAAGCTAACTCAAAGAGTTCCTCCTACACAAGCATTCAGGTCTTGAGCAGTCCAGGCAAACAACGCACGTTACAACAAAGCTTAAACTTGTTCTTCATAATCATTTTAAAAACAATACTAGCTGCCTATTTAATTTTAAAAAAGCAAAAAATATTCACCTCCTTTTCCATTTCTTATAAGGAGTCTTGAAGTTTAAATCTCCTCAGTGTGATAGATATGCTTGCTTTGATCTGCTTAGCTCTTGGAAGTCCAGGGGCTCCGGGCTGCTGGCCCCGTGCCGGGGTCCCTAGGGACAGCTCTGTCCGCCATTAGGGAATTTTTTCCCGAGAACCCCCTGTAACATTTCGTGAACCCCCAGGGGTTCACGAACCCCAGTTTGGGAACCACTGCTGTAGAACAATATTTCTCACATTGGGAGTTCAAAAGGGGGCCAGGCTCTTGTGGGGGGTTGTCACAAGATCACAAAAAATAGGGTTACCATACGCCCGGGTTTCCCCAGACATGACCTCTTTTATTGGTCCTCCTATTTCCGTATGGACAGATTTTTTAAATGAACAAATATCCGTGATTTTTCTTTGCTCGTCCTTTTTCCTTGCCTTCAGTGCTGGGTGGCCAGAGAGCAGCAGCTGCTGTCTGGACACCCAGCTCTGAAGGCAGCACTGCCGCCAGCAGCAGCGTAGAAGTAACGGTAGCATGGTATGGTTACTTAGCTCTGTAGGAATCTGCACTGATGCTGCGAAAGCTATGACCAGTACCAAGAGTATGTGTGGGGTGGAAGTCTCCACAGCCTGAACTATTTTCAAAGGGGGGCGCAGCAAAAAAAAATTTGAGAACCCCTGCTTTAGAAGATGTACTACAGTTTCAGTTCTGTGTAAGATAACATTGTCTTTCAGTTCCCCGGTAATATACTGCCTGTTATAAATACCCAGTGTGTATGCTTTACTTTGACTTGAAGTCCATCTCTAATAAAAAATATTTCACTCATATCTTTTGGGAAACTTGCCCAAACAATTCAGTTCTCCAAGAGAATCTGTAGGTGCTATGTTTGTCTACATCTTGTTTTGCTTTCTAGACAAAGTTGGTTACTTAATTGCTAACACTCAAGTACACTGAAATGAACATACAACAAAAAATGGAATGAGTAACTTTTCCACCAGGAAAAGCTTTCTGTAGTGTAACAGACTTCAGAAGACCTAATTTGGCGGTAATTACAACTTTAAATGGAACCTTTCCCTTGTACTATATCCCACTCTTTTTTTTCTGTTGGTCCCAAGAGCTGCGCCATAATTCCTGGTAGATTCATCCTAAATTGTAAAATCAGTAGGAGATGGACTTGGCTAAAAGCATTCCACTGAAGCCAAACTACAGTGACTTACCAAGTAATCTCTTGAAAGACATTAAGATACTAATACAAAAACCACTTTGGTTGGAAAATAGTACCTTGTGTCAGCAATCCCTTCAACTGGTTTTGGTGTAGCCATAGTTGGTTGTTGCAGTGCCATCTAGTCCTGGTGTGGAAGGATGTTGGTTACAGCACAGGGCCTCAGTGATGGAGGGAATATGAGGGAAATACACTTTTCTGCAACCCCATAATAAAAAACTTTTTGGAATCCTTATGAAATATATGACCACATTAAAGGTGGCCACTCAGGCAAATACAGTATTTTATTTTCTAGAGCACAAGAAAGGAAGTGTGACCATCTGCAAATGGTTAAGAGGACTAAAAATAGCTTAAAATTATTTGGTTAAAAATTGCACCTCTGGGTTCAACTCTAGTTGAGATTCCTCCTGATATTTTCAGTGATCTTACAGCCTCCTAATAGCATGGTGTATGATACAAAACCACTTAATTTGCCCTTTGAGACAGGTTTGTATGATCTGAAGAGGCACATTTAAGGAGATGATTCATCTGAGAAAGAGAGTGGTTTCTCCAGATCAGAGCTGAGGTACATTTGTATAGCAGTATGGATAAGCTTGAACACCTACCTTTCTGCCGTTATGCAGTTGGTAGAAAATATTTTTCCGTCTTGACAGATGCATATCATGAAGTTCAATTAAGAAAAAGAAATTTGAGAGTAAGTCAAATTGATTTTTACATGCTTAATTCAAGCCATTGTGTCTACCCATTGCTTTATGCTCTCAACGATAGATGTAGCTGGAAATTTATTCAGAAAGGTTCACTGTTGTTTTCCATTTTTTTTCCTTTTGGACTAACTGTTTATTTTATCTTTCTGGTTTCAGCAGGCTGGGGAGAAATGCCTACTGTCCACGCAAAGACTGAATCTTCTTGGGGAGAGCCTTCATCCCCTTCTGCTGCAGTTGATAATGGCACTTCAGCATGGGGGAAACCCCCCAGCAGTGGTACAGGGTGGGGAGATAATTCTGCCGAGTCAGCAGGGACCTATGGAAGAGCGAATGCTCCAGCTGCTGCCCCAGCACTGTGCAAGCCAGGTGAACTCTCTCACTGCTTTTATTGTGATGGCATTGGGAAGTAGGTTGGAAAATGTGGTAAACAGCATCTGTACTTTTGTATATTTTTCACTCATGTTTGCTCTCCCATACCCTTTTTTTGCATTTTAAATTGTTTTTAGTTTGGAGAATATAATAGCATCATTATAAACAAGGACAAGGTGATACCAATATATAACTTCCACTTTCTCAACTCAGTAAACTATCTCAATTCTTTTGGTGTGTGCACTAACTTTGTCCCATTTAGAACATTTTAGAAGATCAAGTCTGGACTGTCGGATTTAAATACATTGCTTATTGTATGTATATATGTGTATCCTGGAAGCAACTCTGTATAAACAGCAAAAGATATAGAAAAGGGAAATCGCAAGACACCAAGACGTCAAATGCCTACATTACACAGATCACACCCAATTCTGTTCTTCCTCAGATGCTAACAGTGCTATCCCCAAGTGTGTAATTGAGATCATTACCTGGATGAAAAGCAGCTAAACTCAGTCAAGACCCAAGTGATGTTGGTAGGAAGAGGATTGTACTTAAGAACTAATAGTCTGAAACATCTTAAACTGAATGAGTGGGAGAGGGAATATACCCTTCAACCATCAAAACTGTTCACATCCTCAAGTCAATCCTGGATTGTTTACTGCTATTAGATTCCCAAGTAGCATCAGCTGTCAGATGCACATTCTTTCATCTACAGTTGGCCTCAAGGCGGCACCTTATCTTGTAGAATGCCAGTTTGGCTGTGGTGAGCTTTTTATTTGTAACTTCTAAGCTCTACTACTGCAACATGTTGTACATAGAAATAATTAACAGCCCTGGAAAATCTATAGGGGGTTCAAAATGTGACATTCCACCTTTTAAGCATCACAGGACAGGACAATTGGAAGTAGATCATCCCAGTTCTCCTTACACATCTACTTGCAACTCATTTACTACCGCCAAATTCCATGTTCATGTCCTAATCCTCAGAGAGCTTGATATGTTTGACTCAGGCCACTTTCGGATCTGCTTCTGTCTCAGCAACTAAAATCTATGTTCATTAGGAATAACAGAAGTTGTCAACTAAAAGGGTAAGAATCATGAGATCAGGCGATTATATATTTTTAGTGGCTGCATGGCTTTGGAGCCCTGTTCCTCAAGAGATTGGATTGACCACAAAATTTCACCTCCTTCAGCTTATAAGCAAGTTTCTGCTCTTCACAGTTTTCCCACAGTAATAATAAAAATATTTTATCCCTTCCTTCCAGCTTCAGGGAAGGGAACAAAAGATTAATATTGATTAAACTATATGTTGCACCTGTGTAATTCTGTAAAATGTTCAGATGCTAAGATAATGAAGATGGGATGGATGTGCATATAAACTAAAGGATTTAAAGTCTAGAGAAAATTAACAGAAATGTTTCCTTCCCCCCCAGCTTCTAAATCTATGCAAGAAGGCTGGGGCAGTGGTGGGGATGAAGTGAACCTCAGTACTAGTCAGTGGGAAGATGAAGAAGGAGATATGTGGAATAATACTGCTTCACAAGAGAGTAACTCCTCCTGTAATTCATGGGGGAATGCCCCAAAGAAAGGACTTCAAAAGGTAGGACAGTGATAAGGATGGATTGTAGAAATCAGTAGGGTTAGAGTGCAGCATTTCTAGCACTGAATGTTACACATGCTTTCTGTAAGATTAATACTCTGAGTTTGAATGAAAGTCTGTCTCATTGTGAGTGGTGAAAATGAGTACTGTAGGAAATAGATTTATATACACTTGTGCTGGCAACTAAAGTAAAAGTCATATTAAATATTAAATGATAGACAACAAAATATTGTTCCCTTGAATACACTTTAGCTAGTCTGTTGTAGGTGTGTCTAGGATGTCTTAACATGCAGAATATTCCCAAGGGGGTGGGCCCGGTGGATGGAAGGCTACAAAAATGTCTTTTACTTTTAGAGTGGTGTCCGATGTTTCTGATTGTTTTTGTTTCTCACCAGTTTCATGAACATTTATGTATTATGAAGATCTTTTTATGTATTAACAAAAAAATCATACTGGTGACCTCTTAAACATTTTCATTTGCAGTGGAAAAAACAAATGTTGCTCTCTTAAGAAATGGTCCAGCTTAATTCATAAGCAAAAAAAGTATCTATTTTGTCTCCTACATCTGAAAGGAGAATGTATAATTTTGTTGCCTGAACTGATATGGGAACAGAGCGAAATTTAACCAATTTGAAACTCAAACAAGAGAACATCCACAGTTACATTTAGGAATTTTTATATTACAAGAAATATAAACCCTTAGATTTCAGGACATGAACAAGCCTCTAATTTACAGAGTTAGCTTTGTTTGTGAGCAGCTTATTCTGTAATTGTCAGTTATACTAGATGGACCACTGGTTTGATCCAGTATTAAATTTTTTATATTACTATCCCATACCTTAATATTTGTTCCTCTGTAATTCAGGGAGTTGCACTTCAGGGTCTTGAAGTGTAGAAGTTGCCCAGAGCTCTACTAAAGATGTCTATTTCAGTCTTTTCAATGCAGCCAATGGATTGAATGGACTTTGACAGATTAAGTTTGCAAATTCAGTTTGTTGGGTATTTTGAGGAAACTTGTACTATGTCAGAATTTGAGTGACTTTATTTTGTTTTCCTGATGATAATTGAAATGAATAATGCTGTTCAGAGAAAGGATTAGTTATTTGCAGTATCCAGCGTATCAGGCAGATAGCAAGTAGTTCTTTACAACACCTGATCAGGTGAGGTAAAATTTGCTCTGTGCCCTCTGGGAAGAAGAGGAGTGTAATTCTATTCTGTTTTGTAGGTTTCATGAATGTGTTATAAATATACATATGAATATACCCTGAAGCAACATACAGTATTAATAAGGGAAACCTGCCATAGATTTTGCTGCATCTCATTGCTATAAATATGAAAAATAGATGATTAATGATCTTTCCAATTTGTTTACCTAGGGCATGAAGACATCTAGTAAGCAAGATGAGGCCTGGATCATGAACCGTCTGATAAAACAGCTCACAGACATGGGCTTCCCAGTGAGTAACATTCATTTTCTAGTATTTTCTATAGCTTGGTTTTTGTAGCTTGTAGTGTATATTTTTGACCTTTCTGTTTGCAGATACAAAAATGTTTCCTAAATGGGAAATCAGTTGTTTTAACTATATTTGGCCATTTATTCTAGTATAGTTTGGGAAACCTCGAAAGAGCAAGTAAAATACCCTTTGAGTGTAGATACTGACATGCTTAACTTTGATGAAACCTATAGAACTTTTGTTTGTTGCTTTTTTAATCATGGGTTTTACTTTGAACTTGTTAATAATCTTTGTTGTCTTCCCCATTACCCTATTAAACAAATGAAATAGGGAGTATTATGTAGTTTGGGTGGGGGGGTTAAGTCAGGTGTGTGTGGTGGTATTTTTAAAGTTATCCATTGCATAAGGTTAAAAATTCAGTTATAAAAAGAATATAATTTAACTTTATAGAGAATAACATACATTTTGCCCAGTGAGACAGGCCAGATCTTTCTGGGAAGCATGTCATAATTGGCGAAAGCAAAAAAGTTATGTATAAACATAATCTGATTCAGTTAATACATGTCAGTGTTACCCCAATATTGAAGAAAATCTTGAAATTTCCCATTTGGTTTGGAGTCCTGTAAATGTGTTCTTGCTTGAAACACAATATAACCAAACCCACATTATTGTTTGCAGAGAGAGCCAGCAGAAGAGGCCTTGAAGAGCAACAATATGAATCTCGATCAGGCCATGAGTAAGTGTCTTTCTAACCAACACCTTTCATAAAAGGCACTTCAGTAGATGGATACATGATTATGAAGTTTGATCTGTTCCAGTTAAATTAGCTTCTCTGTTCCTAAAGAGCATTTTAAGAAAACACATACACTTTTGTGACTATTTTCTATGCCGAACCCCAGAGTGTAATTTGTAGTGCTTTCAAAGACCGTGTATTTTAGTTTTCTACTTAAAATTAATATTAATTGTAATAGGTGTATAACTGACACTAGTATTGTTGTTTTGGTTTCAGAAGTTTTTGCAGACTCAGTTTCCCCTTGCATCACCAGCCTTTTTTTGCTTCCATCCTTCTATGCAGGTGCTCTGCTGGAAAAGAAGGTGGAAATGGACAAGCGTGGAATGGGAGTGACCGACTATAATGGAATGGTCACCAAACCCCTTGGCTGCCGCCCACCATCAATCTCCAAAGAGTCTTCCATGGACCGCCCCACCTTCCTCGACAAGGTAAGTTCAAAAGTATGAGTGTGATTTATAAATCAGTACTGACAATGCAGGGTGTGGGAAGAACTGTAGTCTGGAGAGCACGACAAACAAAATGAAGAAAAGAGATATAGATGTGTCTTGTCCATCTTTTTTTTTCCTTTTGTAAATTCTGCAAAGGTGAGAGGAGCCCACTTAGTACTAAAGGCCTGCCCCTCATTCAAGGGAAGGGCCACAAGAACTGAGGAATAATTAATTTCATGGTATGGGGGGGTGGGAAACTAATCAAAACAAAAAACCAGGAACAGGAGTGCAGGTTATAGATATAAAATGAGGGAACTGGATGTCGATACCAAGCAGTCCGCCAGTCAGTGCTCACTGCTCTGTGAAGCAGTCCAAGGAGTTAGTGGATGCCACTCGAAGCTGTGCTTAGATACATGAGACAAGTAGGGACTGAAAATAGTCTGCACAGTCACAGAGAACCTCCCTGTCAAGCTTTCTGCTCCTAACCTGAGGTATGGCCATCCTGGCAAATGCCAGGAGGAGGTTGTCTAGACGAGGCTGTCATGTCTTCATGAGGCCATGGACAGGAAAGGCTGTGGGGGAAAGGGTATGAGAACTTCAGCACAAAGTTCTGAGGAGCCAGAAGTGGGGAAGCAATCTGGTGCACTGGAGCAGAGATTGATGTGTGCCAGGGTCTCCCTCCTACTGCAGAAGGTACAGCTGTCAGGAACTCGGTGAACTGCACCTACCACATACCTGTGCTCTTGGCTCTGGAGCAGCCATCAACTTGTGGAAAGGGACAGATTGACTATACTGTAGGTTGAAATGCTTTCTTCAGTTACAGAAGAGGTACAACACAAGCATTTGCACTGTTAACCTCCCTGCAGTGACCCACCAATGTATCTCAATACCCCTCTGAAGGAATTACTAAGAGAGAAAAGGATAGTTGAGATTCTTCTCCCGTTTGTTTCTTGAATAATGTTGAAAATCAGTACCAACTCGGAACTGCACTGAAACCAGTTCATTTTATGTAGGCTACTCACCTGATGATAATGACTTTGGTCTCTTATCAATTTGGGGTAGCTTAAAACTAGTGCTTTACACATGAAAAGGTGTTTATATTACCAATCCCCTGAAGCATTCAGTTTCCCTCCTCTCTACATTAAACTCTTTCCTATAGTGGTCATCATTAATACGCAGTTACCCCACAGCTTTTTTTTTTGAGATGCCACAATTATTTTCCTACATTTTAAATAGAACATAAATTTAGTATCTCAGATACCAAGCTATAATTGCTAAATACTAACTTTTTAGTGACCACCATTGTAGATAATTTCCGCTACTTTTACTTTGCACTTTGCAACACAAACATTTAGCTGAAGTTTCTATTCAGGAAGAAGGAAAAGTATAGAACAAGTTACTATATTTAAACAGAGAAACACCTTACATTAATATTGCTAAAAATTATTACTATTACTAAAATCAATCTAGTCTGATTGCAGTTTTCCTCCAAGTGAATGTATTCTCCCAAAGTCCACTATTGTATCAGCATCTATTCTACCATCCCTCCTTAGACCAGACCTAATTGATAATTTTCTCTGTCTCCCATGGCTCGTCTTTCTTACTATCCTCTTGCCCCTGCTTTAAAATTCATCACCCATTCTTAACTATTATCAGTCAGTTTGTCAACATGTTAAGTGAAAGATTCTTTCCATTTATCCACACACAAATGTTGTACACTTATGTGTCAATTAACCCTTTCTTTTCTAGGATAACACATTGAGCAGTTATATCATTACTAGAGAGAGAGAGGCACATTATGCAGCATAAAGCGACAGAGTCCTGTGGCACCATATAGACTAACAGGACTTTTTGTCGCTTTTTACGGATCCAGACTAACACGACTACCCCTCTGATACTTGATATTATGCAGCATATTATACATGATATAGAAATATATGTTAAGCATAACTATTTAATATTAAGTACTAAATTAATCAGTATTTATACAGCAAGTAAAATCCCTATCTGTCAGGGTATGCAATAGTCTGTCACAATGACTTTTTCTTTCAACAACAACATTCCACATGATCCTAAATAGATAACTACTTGTTAATGTTAAATAGGGAATTGATCATCTTCCTATTAAATAACAAAATCACTTTTCTAACAAAAAGAAAATAGTATTTTTTTTAAAGATATCATTCTCATACTTCAGTTTCATACAACTAGAGTAACTCACCTTCTCAATGATTTTTTTGCCTTTTGAGTGGTGTTATTTCAGTACAAGAATTCATCAAGTGGCACTGCCTTAGTCCCTAGTTCCTTCTAGCCAGCTCATCTTTGTCCTTGGTCAGTGAACAAGCTCACTGCCTTAGCTGCACCAAGATCTTCAGTCCACCACTGCTCCAGCCCTCCCTTAGCCCACTGTTTCAACAAGTCACCAGGTATCCTTTTATTTGATTTTTCTGAGTCTCCAGTAAGTTATTAAATATTTCTGTGTTTCTGCGTGCCAACTGTTTTTGGATGATCTGAGATACGTGCCCCACAGCTCTCTTCTGAGTTACTCTAAATGCCCTTTCTCCTACTCTCACTCTGAAGATTTTGTTCAACACTTATTTGTTCAGATACTTTTTTTGCTCTATGAATTGTGGTGAGGGACTTCCAGCTCCTCAGTACTCAGCATTGGGGTCTGCTGGATGTGCTGCGCTCCTTACTTGCTTTGGGATAGCCGTAGTTCGTGGAGCCAAACATTTATTTGCCTGGATGCTTTTGTTTGACTTGCTTTCTCAACACATGACACTTATTTTTTTTATTCTGTTTTGCATTGAGTCAAGCTTTGGCACTCAGTGCTTTGTGAATTGTATCATTTTCCAGGATGTCATCTTGTCTTTTAAAAGGAAGAAGTCCAGTGGCTTCAAGAGCTACAGATGCAGCCTAGCAATGCCCCTCACACATGATTGCAACCGCATTATCTTGTACTTGAGAGTCAAGCATGCTCTGCTCAGATGTAAGACTTGCTTGAAATTATAACCCGGCTGTCCAGTGGAGCCATCAGATTGGGAGGAGAGCTCCTGAAGATCCTATGGGCATGCTGAGAGAAACCTGAAATCAGCCCAGAATACTTCAGAGGATCTTGTCTTGAAGCAAAGGTCTAATCTGAGTTCCATTGCTGACTATTAGGACTCAATGTTAGCACCACTCATAACTTCACAGACAGTATTCATCAAAACTTAGAAGATCTACTTGGTTGTCTGAAGGTGATCTGCACTAACCGCCTCATAGTAAAAGTCTCTAGAGCATATTGAGGTTTGGTTTATTAGCAAACCAAATAGATAGTATTAAATACCAGATCACTGAAAGAGGTGATGCTTCCACCAAAGTGCCAAAAGTAGAAGATGCTGAGAGAGGAAATACCCATCAGACTCCAGCACCATCAAATTTCTTGTTCCAAGCAGCTCCAGATCCCCCTCTCCATGTGTGTGCAACATTTGTCAATTTGAGACTAAGTTGCATCAGTGTTTTGTGTGTTATTGAATTGCTCCATGTAGCTTTGTGGCTGAGGTTGTCTTGAAGGGAACAGTACCATCTTCGATGCCCAACACCGAATTTGTCCAGAGCCAGAAATGCCAAAGGGCCAAGATTGATAGATCTAGGTACTAGGCTCCCTCCCACATTTCTGTACTCTTGTATCCTGTTCTTGATGAGTTGGTGAAGAATAAACTTAACACGGCTCTCTCCTTATCCCAGCTTGTGGAGAAAAAAATGTATCTTACAAAATGAGTCACAGGCTAAGTCTTCTACTCCCAGTATTAAGAGCTTGATGGATATGGTGTCTCTTGGCAGAGGAGAGCCTGCCAGACTCATGGCACTGCAACCAAACCTCAGAGATTTGTTACATCATACAGTTTGCTACTGCAAAGATGGTTTCCTGACTGGTTTGGCATCAGATTCAAGCCGGTTAATTGACATGCCTTCAACATCACCTCTATTGATTTCATGGTAGACTCACTCAATTCCACTCTCTCCTCCTCTCTTGACTCCTTATGCCTTCTTCCACATGGCTCCATTCATACCACTAATCCCCTGTCCTGGCTCACACCACCCATATGTTTCTTCCAAACCTGTTTCTGGACCCTGAGCATCTGGGAGATCACATGGAATTCCTCCCTTACAGATTCCGTCCTTTATTTCAGTATTATCTTGCTCACAAAACAACAGTTCTTCTTCACCTTTATTGAAGAATGCAGTGCCTAAAAGATTTGATGCCTATTTGCCACCTTCAACTCCTTCTTCAAACCACCTCCCTCTGCCCAGGCTGTCGCCTACTACTTGGAGGTGAATATCAATGAGTTTCTCCATCCTCATCCATGCTTTCTGTCTTCTTGTCCCAGATGTCCCTAATGAGTTGGAAAATTTTTGAAAGTTTCTCTCTTTTTAGGAGGATCTATTCTGAGCTTTTGTCTGTTTGTACGTAGATGATGGTAGTGGTGGTTGTTTTTTTTTATGATATTTTATTCACTTGCACACACTTCATTCCTCCATTCATCCATGAAGCATCTGATTAAGTGTTTTGTGTATTTTTTATTTTGAAATCTCTCTCGAGCTCCTCAGGATAGTATCCTCGGGATAGTAATCACTGCTTCTTTAAATATATCACCTTGCAAGATTTCCACATAGCTATTTACTTGCCTTCTGATTTTTGCGTGATCTGCTTCTGAAGTGTGATTTCCCTCCAAATACTCCTACTTTTCAGCTTTATGTGTGTAATATTTTTACATCCTTTAGAAAGGATTGGGGGGTTTGTATTTATTTTTTTTAATTGTTTACTGATGTTTTGTCTTATTTTTTAAATTGGTTTGTATGAAAAGCTTTGGCTTTCTGTGCAAATCCAGTACTGTTTAAAAGGCCCTTTGGAATCAGGTAGTGGCAGTTTGGTGGCATGTGACCATTGAGGTGGAGGGGAGTCTCATGTGAAACTATCAGTATCTCAGGGTCCTGTGGCACCTTTAAGACTAACAGAAGTATTGGGAGCATAAGCTTTCATGGGTAAGAACCTCACGACTTGCATCTGAAGAAGTGAGGTTCTTACCCACGAAAGCTTATGCTCCCAATACTTCTGTTAGTCTTAAAGGTGCCACAGGACCCTCTGTTGCTTTTTACAGATTCAGACTAACACGGCTACCCCTCTGATACTTATCAGTATCTCGCACAGCTAAAACCTTTTGTACAAAGGGATTTCTGTTGTCTTTCATTTGGCGTATGAGACTCAAGAAAGAATCCCATGAGAGATTTTCAAAGAACTGGAAATAATTAACTTTGCCTTACTGACCACCAGTGGCATGCTCTGCACTATACAACCACAAGAGCATATGGTCCTATTCCTAGAAGTTTACAAACTTATCAACTCTGAGAAACTATTAAATTCCATATTGGCTTCATTGTTTTATGGGGAGTCAAATATAAGAAATTGTACTAATGGATAGGAGACATGATGGTTGAACTTGGGAGGAGTGTACAAATATATTTTTAACAAGATTATTGGAGATGGACTGAGGGAAGGAAAGTTGACTGTGACTGGATGGTCCTGAAGTTTAGTAACGGGTTACAAATCTCTAGGTCATCAATATAAGTCCAGCCTACCCTAGATTGGTAGTGACCAAAAGTCCTTAACGTTTATTGTATTAAGTGCCTTAAATTAAACGAGTTTACCTCAGTTCCATTTCTAGAGAATAAATATCTCACGTCACAAACGGCATACTTATTAGGAAACTTTGAAACCGCAACCAAGGACCAAATTAACGTGGACACTGAACTACACTTGCCATTTGATTGTTCCGGTTCAGGGTTGAGGCACACTATTGAAGTTTGGGGGAAGGTGGCATTGCAGCTAATCAGAACCCATCTGTTGTGGAAATTGAAAATTTTGATTTCCATTGTAGTCAGTCTAGCACTTTCACCAGCACTGCAATCACTGTACATATTTTTAAATGAGGAGGGAAAATGTGGCAGTAGATATTTCTGCTTTTGGCAATATTTAGTGGTTACATCCATTACTCTCTCAGCCAACACTGTTCTATGTCCAGTAGCTATTATTTGCATAGAAAACAATGGCACTTGGAAGAAAGAACACACAAGTCACTGGGAATTATCTCCACTTTAAAGAGTCCAAAAAAAAGGGAGGGGGGAGGGGAGATTGTTAATACATGTCCATGACCTAGGCATGAGAAATCTTTGAACCTGTTACTGTCATGCAAGCTGCAGTTGTTTGTGGAGTGTGACTGATGTCCAGTAGAATGTAAAACATCTTGAGCTGAAAGGTCTTGGGGATATCATTAGAAAATGTCAGCATCCCCTTCAGGATATTCAAACATCAAATCAAATGTCACTTTGACTTATGATAAACAAACTTTTCCTTTGCACAAAGGACTGCTATTGAAAATTCATATTTACAGGGTAACTTAGAACATAAAGTTTCCTGAGAATTCCCACTGTTAAGTGCTTTATTTGTGTGCTGAGAGGATTGGTCCACTTTATGAATAAAGGATATTCCTTAATATCTAGCAGTCTTCTGAGTGATTGAGTAGAAAAATGTCAGTTGATGTTACCTAGCTTCTCACCTGTGGGAAAGCCTGGCTTTAGCAAGTGAATGCATTGGCTGAAAAATATCCCACTCATTTAGCTATAATTATCGTTGCACACTGCAAATTTAAGAATAGTTTTTGCACAATTTGGGGGTTTTATTTGGTACACAGAGTATTTAATTATGCTTGCAGTAGGATACCAGATATCAAAGCCCTGTCTTACAACATCTAAGCCAGAATTTATGCTACACTGGTGTTCAGCACCCTACTGCAATGATTGTAGATATTGGGCCAGTATCAGTGAGAGTTATATGGCTAATAGAGCCTCTATAGCAAGTACTGTATTTTTCCTTTATCCAAATAACTGCTTATGTTGTCCATCAATTCTATATTCTCTCTGCAGTTCCCCCTAGATATGCTCCTCTTTCAGCTATCTTTTGTGATGCTAGAGAGCAGCAAAAGACTTTTTTTTTTTTTTTTTTAACTGCTAAAAACTTCTCTCTCGTTTCTTGGGACTCAGCACTTTAATCACTTACCAGGGAGAGTACATACTTAGGGTATAAGAAGTTTTTAAATGTCTTTTTTGTGCGCGCACACGCACACACACAGAATTTAATTATGAATATTAGTAAGTCAGTGCTACACAAAAATTAAAACAAGGTTACAAGTCTTATCATCCAGTTGAAACTGGATTGGGAAAGAGGATTAATGCAAACATGCTTTCTGAACAGCTGAGTTGTGATTTGGAACTGAAACCAGACTAGTGATCACATGGCATTCTGCTAAAGAACCTGTAAAATGAGCTCATCTGGTCTTTCCTTGGTTCTGGCTTTCCAAAGTGCACGTCACAAGTGGGTGCTGTTTCTCTGACAGTGTAGCAAACAAACTGCAAGGAGAAAGATTTCTGAAATTTGCTGTCGCAGCACTCTTCCCATTGTTTAATGTTCTGGTGCCAAGAGAGGAGAGAATAGAATGAGTTGTGAAAGCAGTTATATGGCAATGGTCTGATTCATGGGGTTGCAGATGCCTGCAAGACCATGGAATTTGTTTTACCATGTTCATACTAGATTTTAAACTTAACATAAGCACCAATTCCTGATTACTCTGGATGGGAAATGAGAATGGTCATGCATCTGTACATTTGCAATGTGCAAAAAGTAAAGAAGAACAGTACCTTAATCCTGTTTCTCTTTTTCTTCTTTCTTCCACCCCATACTTTCCATTCCCTATTACTCATGCCTTTTTTTAAATATTTTCATTTTTTTATTCATCCGTGCCCTTTTATATCCCCATGGGAAACTGTTTGGTGCTCTGTCTGCTTGTGGACACGGCACACAGCTCACCCTTTCTTTCTCCAATCAGGATGGCGGCCTAGTGGAAGAGCCCACTACTTCACCATTTTTGCCTTCTCCAAGCCTGAAGCTCCCCCTTTCAAACAGTGCACTCCCTAATCAGACCCTGGGCGGGATTGCCTCAGGGCTGGGCATGCAAAACTTGAATTCTTCTAGACAGGTAAGGCTGTTTGGAGAGGTCACAATTTGAATTTCAGCTCTCTTGAACTCACTACTAGAGGAATTTCTCATCCCTTTTTCAGTTTAAACCACCATTTCCAAATATGAATAAATTTTGTTTATATGAAATGTCATTGTAAACATTTCACTTTAAAAGCCACAGTTTAACTGTAGTTGCCGTAACCTGAAACTTGTGTTCATCCACTGAGAGGAGAATGCAGCGCTACAGATTTATAATACTGGACATTGTATTTTGAAATACAACGAACTTAAAATATATAGGGTATATTTGACTAAACCATAAATGACTGATGTAATGTTTCTGTATTTTTAAGGCATTGCTGATTGCCAGAATATTTGTTTAAAAAAGAAACTTTCTTCTAATTAGCCTTCACTGGCTTGATTATTCATCGATGATGCAGCCTTGTGATGGGGGTGGGGTTATATCAAGTTTTTCTACCATAATTGTTGAGATCAGACTTAGCTTTTGCATGTGGGAGGAAAGATCTCTTTAGTGAGCGTGTCTAGCAGGCTAAATGGCGGGAATCATGTCTCATCTGCCTGGTTGGAAGAGGATTTGAGGGACTGAAAATAAGAGGGGAAAGGAAAGTAAGTGGAGTGAACATTTATAACAATGAATGTTTGTGAGGTCATAAATTATGGCTGATCACGAAAAGAGAGAAGAATACAGAAAAATGCTGTAGCATTCTGTTGTGGCATTGCTTGAGCATGGTGGAGTATGCTTAACCACTTTTCTTTTTTTCTGACAGCAGTAGCTCTCCAGCACATCTTTGGGAACAGTGACTGCACTAATAGCACATACGTTACCAGCAGCTTTGTAAAACAGAAGTGTATTGGGACTGTATGGAAACTACTTAGATAAATCAATCATGCATGGTGATAGGATTTTAATGATTTCATTCTTTGCCTCTTCACATGGACACAGAAATGTGTTTGGTAGATGATTTTATTATTCGTTCCTTGGATGACATCCTAGAGTCATACAGACTTATTTTGGAAAATATTCAACCTTCTGGTGCCACTCAAACAACTGTACAAAACTTTAGCAGGCTTGGAATGTCAATTTTGGATATATAACTATTACTTAGGTGCCAAAGTCTAAACCAGATCTTCAGTAAAACTTTCCACAAAATAGATATAAGCCTGTATGTGATCATTTCATTGTCTATGCTTATCATGATCTTTGAGAGTAAAAGGCAGCACAAGCATGTCACTGTCGTGGAGTCTGTAGAATGTTGCATCCAAATGAGATCATCTTTCTTGTCATATTGTAGATACCGAGTGGCAATCTGGGTATGTTTGGCAATAGCGGAGCAGCACAAGCCAGGACCATGCAACAGCCGCAGCAACCGCCAGTGCAACCTCTTAACTCATCCCAGCCTAGTCTTCGTGCTCAAGTGCCTCAGTTTCTATCCCCTCAGGTTAGACTGAATTGCACAGCACAGAAAACTGTCAACTCTTTGTTTCATAGCGACTGTATACTGAGTAAGAACATTTTCAATATGAAAAAAATCTAAATAATGAAGTAACCATGACAAGATGATTTGGACCAGCATTGATAACAGAAAGGCCATTAAAAAACTCTTTATTTTCTTTGTTTCTGCATCCATCAGAAAAACAGATTTGGTTGTGGTTATTGTTGTGTATATAGTTACCCTCTTGTAAAGGTTTATATTTGATATAGCGCTCCTAAAACTGGTGACAACTCATCTAATTGCAAATTTATTTTGTTGATGATTTGTGGCTCTTACTGGCTATTTACATAGCGGGCAGTTTTAACAGCGAACATACCATGCTTAAATCTGATATGCTGTATTCTCTGTTTCCCAGGTTCAAGCACAGCTTTTGCAGTTTGCAGCAAAAAACATTGGTCTCAACCCTGCACTATTAACCTCGCCAATTAATCCTCAGCATATGACGATGTTGAACCAGCTCTATCAGCTGCAGCTGGTGAGTTAAAAGGCACAGCAAACAAGATGTAAATCAGACTTGAAGACATTTCTTCAGATTTGCACATCACATTTAAAATAAGAGAAGTGCCAGCTTAGTTTTAAAAATTAAAAGGACAATGCTACTGGGTTTTTTTTTTTTTAAAGATAGTTAGTTATTCCTTTGATAGTTACATATTCTTCAAGAAATAAAATCATGTTTTGTTTTTCCTAATGCTCCTTTAATTGTTACAGTGACTAATTTTCTGTATTGTCATTTAATACTAAGGACACTTGTCTTTTTCACGCTAGTAGCTGTAATTAGCAAGTCAGTTGTCTCCATTTTTGATGTGTGTAGTGTAGAGCATGCCCCCAAAGCACTAGTAATATGTGGCTTGGTGATGTCTTATTTACAAATATTGTTTGGGGGGCTATAGATTTTTCTGTAGCCATGGAGTTTTATTTGTTAGTTGTGAGGAGTAAAACTGCTGATTTATTTTTTAAAATTACTTATATTAACACTTTACTTTTATTGAAAGTGAAATCCTCCCTGGTTAGAGTCTTTGCTACTACTGTTAGTCTCTGATTGCCTTTCTCAATTTTAAGAGGAAAATTAGATTCACTTTCTTTAATAACTGAGCAGTATAGTGCTTGAAAAAACAGCTCTGAAAATCAAAACTTCATGACTGAATTCTTATACTTACACTGATTATTATCTTATTCCTCAACTAGTCCCACTGAAATCAATGAAACAACTTTTGGAATAAAGTACTACTTGATGTAAGGCTGTGAGAACCTGGTCTTGTATGCAGTTACCGCCCATGTCTTAAATACGACACTCCTGTTAATATACCCAAGAATGACATTAGACCTTTTTTTGCAACTGCATCATGTTGACTCATTTTGAAGTTGTGATCCACTATAACCCCCCCCCCCCAGACCCTTTTCTGCAGAATTACTGCCAGGCCAGTTATTCCCCATTTTGTAGTTGTGCCTTAGGAAGGAAAAATCAAAGTGTAGTACTTTGTACTTGTCTTTATTGAATTCCACCTTGTTGATTTCACATTTAGTCTCTAATTTGTCATGGTCATTTTGAATTCTAATCCTATTCTTCAAAATGCTTGCAATCCCCCCCATCTTGGTAACATCCTCAAATTTAATAAGCAGACTCTTCATTAATGAGAATGTTGAATAGTACTAGACCGAGGACAGAGCCCTGCAGGATCCCACTAGATACATCTTCCGAATTTGACAACAAACCATTGATAACTGCTCTTTGAGTATGGTCTTTCAGCCAGTTTTGTACCCATCTTATAGTAATTCCATTTAGACCACATTTCCCTTATGAGACTGTCATGTGGGACTGTGTCAAAAGCCTTACTAAAATCAAAGTATCGTGCTTACAGCTCCCACCCCCATCCACTAGGCTAGTAACTCTATCAAAGAAGGAAATTACGTTGATTTAGCATGATTTGTTCTTGACAAATCCGTGTTGGGTATTACTTATCTCCCTGTTACCTTCTAGCTGCTTACAAATTGATTATTTAATAATTTGTTCCAGTATCTTTCCAGGTATCGAAGTTAGGTCTATAGTTCCCCAGTCGTCTTTGTTCCCCTTTTTAAAGATAGGTCCTACTTTTGCCATTCTCCAGTCATAGAATCATAGATGATCAGGGTTGGAAGAGACCTCAGGAGGTTATCTAGTCCAACCCCCTGCTCAAAGCAGGACCAACACCAACTAAATCATCCCAGCCAGGGCTTTGTCAAGCCGGACTTTAAAAACCTCTAAGGATGGAGATTCCACCACCTCTCTAGGTAACCCATTCCAGTGCTTCACCACCCTCCTAGTGAAATAGTGTTTCCTAATATCCAACCTAGACCTCCCCCACTGCAACTTGAGACCATTGTTCCTTGTTCTGTCATCTGCCACCACTGAGAACAGCCAAGCTCCATCCTCTTTGGAACCCCCGTTCAGGTAGTTGAAGGCTGCTCTCAAATCCTCCCTCACTCTTCTCTTCTGCAGACTAAATAAGCCCAGTTCCCTCAGCCTCTCCTCTGTGCCCCAGCCCCCTGATCATTTCTGTTGCCCTCCGCTGAACTCTCTCCAATTTGTCCACATCCTTTCTGTAGTGGGGGGCCCAAAACTGGAGGCAATACTCCAGATGTGGCCTCACCAATGCCAAATAGAGGGGAATAATCACTTCCCTCGATCTGCTGGCAATGCTCCTACTGATGCAGCCCAATATGCTGTTAGCCTTCTTGACAACAAGGGCACACTGCTGACTCATATCCAGCTTCTCATCCACTGTAATCCCCAGGTCCTTTTCTGCAGAACTGCTGCTTAGTCATGTGGGACCTCACCCGTCCTCCATTAGTTCTCATAGATGATCTACCACATCCATCTCACAGTTCCGAGATTGTTTCACTGGGTCCTTAAGTACCCTTGGATCAATTTCATCAGGCCCTGCCTACTTGAGTGCATCTAACTTATCTACATAGTTTTTATTCCTATTCTTTCTATATTTTGGCTTGTGTTCTTTCCCCTTGCTAATATTAATTGTATTAAGAATCTTGTAATAATTTACCTTTTTAATTAAGACTTTAACAAAATAGGCATTAAATACCTCACCCTTCTTGTCGTCAGCCATTACTAGCTCTCCTTCCCCGCTAAGTACAGGACCAACACCTTATATTTTGTAACTTACAAACACACCTCAAACAAGTATGTTAGTTTTTTTAATGTATAACTTTTGACCTTCCTTGTTTCCTACTTGCAGGCGTACCAACGTTTACAAATCCAGCAACAGATGTTACAGGCTCAGCGTAATGTTTCCGGACCTATGAGACAACAGGAGCAGCAAGTAAGTTTAACCTGCCAACTTGATTTCAACATTAGATTCTGGTTTCAGCTGCCTATAAAGATTCTAATTCATTACTCCAAATCAGTTAGAGTAGCATTAAGTAAACCAAACTATATTGCATGGATTTATATTGAAAGAGAAGAATGCCAATGGTACTGAATGCAGTTCTACTTTCCTCACTTTTGAAAGACTGCTGTTGAACTCTTAATTCAGTTAATTCTTTGTTTCAAAGGGCTGGATATTGTGTTGATTCAGTTTAGAAAGTGGGGCAGCATGGCTTGTGTACCTTTGTACTATCTAGCTTTTGTTGATTTTTTTTTTTAATGTCTTTTGTTGCCAGGTTGCACGTACAATCAATAACATGCAGCAGCAGATCCAGCAGCACCAGCGCCAGCTGGCCCAGGCCCTGCTTATGAAGCAGCAGCCTCCCCCTCCACATCTATCTTTGCACCCCTCTGCAGGCAAATCAGCCATGGATAGCTTTTCACCCCATCCCCAGGCTCCCGGCCTACCTGACCTGCAGACCAAAGAGCAACAGTCTTCACCGAACACCTTTGCTCCTTACCCTCTTGGTAAGTGTTCTTTCATTTAAGCTACCACTTACAAAAGAGAGGGGATGGTGTTTATATGTTTAATTATTTCAGCTTCTGAGCACCTATCCTTTGCTCTAGGTCAGTGGTTTTCAACCTTTTTTCATTTGTGGAAGCCTAAAAAATTTTGAATGGAGGTGTTGGACCGCTTTGGAAATCTTAAACACTGTCTGCAGACCCCCCCCACCCCACACATACACACCCGGAGTCCATGGACCACAGGTTGAAAACCACTGCTCTAGGTGCATTACAGTACTAAAAATATAAAATACAAGAGAAAATCTACAAAGAGCATGTTAATGAAATGCATGTTGAGTTGCTATACTAAATTACAATTATTTATCCCCATCACTGTAGTAGCCCTACACCTAGTCATCATCATAGCCTACCTCAACTCACTCCCCCAAAAGCCTGAGAGAAATTATGAACTTAGCAGCATACTTAGAAAGCTAATTCTTGATTCTGGTGCACTGAAGTGGGGGGAAAAGTTCCAAAGTCAAGGATCTCTTACGGAAAATGCCCTAACAGCACTGCTACCACCCTCCTCTTTAAACTGGATTACAGTGCATTAGATGTCAATGTGTTTATTTTTGTCAGCAGAATGTAGTGTGATTGTGAACTAGTTCCAGTCTAACTGGACTATATGTTTTTTACTAAAACTTGCACCAAGAGGATATTAAGGATGGTTTTGTGTGCAAGGCAATTGACTGGGATTCAGGAGATCTGTATTTGATTTCTGTCTATGCCAGACTTCCTGTGTGACATAGGGCAAATAGGGTAATTTATCTGTGCCTTTGTCTAATTTTTGTAAAGTGGGGTTGATAATACATACTTATCTTACAGGTTAGCTGAAAGGGTATATTAATGTATGCTAGATACTAGAATGATGAGCACCACAAGGTCAAAAAGGTGCTCATAAATATATGAAGGGCCTAAACCTGAAAGGTGCTCAGCACCCTCTGATCTGTTAACTTTCAGAATCATTTCCTGAAAATCCAGAGATCCCCATCTTGGAAAGATAAAAAAGTTCTTCCCTAGAATACTGTCTATGTATTGATTATAAAAATGTATCATTTAGTCTTTATTATAATTTTTAAATGCATTAAACGTGACTCTAAGTAGAAGAGCACCAACTTAACGAATAATGAATCAGTATTATGCAATTGGTGGCTGAGGTGTTAATCATTTTAAAAAACATTGGTAGCCCAAAAAATGAATTCCCAACAAGGGTTTGTTGGAAAGTTGTCAGGAATGATCTGTCTCAGTGATGGAACATTGCAAATTCCTTGCTTGTTTTAATTTTGAATTCTAATGCAAAATGCCTTTTCTGAGACAACTAGGAAGAATTAAAGTGGAAATGCCGATGGCATTAAAATACATCCCTACAGTGGGTTCTTTTTCTCATTGTCAAATGGTTTAATTTTATCTGAAGTTAGTGGGAGTTTTAGCAGAAACTATATGGTGATATTTTTTAGAAGAGTAGAATTTATTGAGCAGCAGGCTGAGACCAGCTTGTGGTAAATTGACATACAGTATATAGAGAACTATTTCTGTCTGAAATCTAAAGTTCAGTAACTCATTTGTGTGGATCATTAAGCACCAAGAATTAATGTTGGGGATTGGGGGAGTATAAATGTTAGGAATATGTAACAACCTATCTGCTTCCCCTTAGCTGGACTGAATCCGAACATGAATGTAAACAGCATGGACATTACTGGTGGTTTGTCAGTGAAGGATACTTCTCAGTCTCAGTCTCGCCTTCCTCAGTGGACACACCCCAACTCAATGGATAATCTATCTAGTGCTGCTTCTTCACTTGACCAGAATTCTAGCAAGCACGGTATGTCACATCTATGTTTATCAGTTAGTACTCTTAGGACATGATGGTCAGATTGGCAAAGCAACCCAATTTCCAGGCATTCTCTGTTATAAGAGCTGGTACAAAATACCTTTTCAGATTATAAACTATTAAGTAATACTGTTAAAGAGCTTCTTCCGGTATAGGCTGTGTCATTATGGTTGCAATACATGGAACCTTCCATCAAAGCTTTGTTTAAAAATGTTTTTGGTTTGGTGAATGTAGTTCAGAAAAATGAGTGAATAATAGCACCAACTAGAACCAGCCTTAATGTGGTAGGCATTATGCAAACATCCCTCCCAGAAATGCCAATGTACCTCAGTACAGAGCTGCATCACTTTGTCCTAACTGTAATGCATTTTAACTTCCTTCCCCAACTCCACCTCCAAAATCTTGAGTCCTAAATTCCCAGCTCTGCTCAGAGTTGTGCTCTATTAAGATTACTGTGTTCTGCTTCTTTGTCATTAGCAGCACAAATCATTTCACTTCAATGATAGCTGTTAACCTGCAAATATTTCTGCTTCCCACATTAACTTGTTGTTTTGTAATTCCTATTCAGAATCACTGTATCCATTTGTGCTTGTTTTTGACAGAGATCTTCTCTGAATTGTTGTTAGCTAACTTACAGTTTGATGTGCTACTGATGTTTTCATCAGATTCAGTTCTTGAGCTGTGTTAAATCTTGCGTGATTGTTTGTTTTCTTACTGTATGTATATTTTAATTATATTACTTAATTTTAAAATTCAGAAAGTTTAAAGGACAAGAAAAATTACCAAATATAATAGAGATGAAAGGAGCAGCCAAAGAATGAGTCCTGCCCCCTAAACAAATTATTTTTTTCCCTTCTATCATTTCAGGTGCTATTCCTGGAGGTCTAAGTATTGGTCCTCCAGGAAAGTCCTCCATTGATGACTCTTATGGACGGTACGATCTGATCCAAAACAGCGATTCACCAGCCAGTCCACCTGTAGCTGTTCCTCACAGCTGGTCACGTGCCAAAACTGATAGTGATAAAATCTCCAATGGTTCCAGTATTAACTGGCCACCAGGTAACAAAACACAAAAACATTACCTTAAAAATACTGATGTCACTGAATCTTAGTGCGGTTTTATTTACTGAATCAGTGTCTTTCCTTGTGTGGGAGCTTAGAGCGAAAGATAATAATTTCATAGACTCTTGCTTCTGCTCTTTTAAAATAGAATTTCATCCTGGAGTGCCGTGGAAAGGACTGCAGAATATTGACCCTGAGAATGACCCAGATGTCACTCCTGGAAGCGTTCCGACTGGGCCTACCATTAATACCACCATACAAGATGTTAATCGCTATCTTCTCAAGAGTGGAGGTAGAGCAAAAGTCACAAACACTTTGCACCTCTGTATTCACTTCGTTTCCCTTCCTTCCAAACATTTTAACTAACTGTCTTATTCCTAAAAAACAACAAGGAGTCTGGTGGCACCTTAAAGACTAACAGATTTATTTGGGCATAAGCTTTCGTGGGTAAAAAACCCACTTCTTCAGATGCATGGAGTGAAAATTACAGATACAAGCATAAATATACTGGCACATGAAGAGAAGGGAGTTACCTTACAAAAGGTACCTTCATGTGCCAGTATATTTATGCTTGTATCTGTAATTTTCACTCCATGCACCTGAAGAAGTGCTTTTTTACCCACAAAAACTTATGCCCAAATAAATCTGTTAGTCTTTAAGGTGCCATCGGACTCCTTGTTGTTTTTGTAGATACAGACGGCTACCGCTCTGATATTTGTCTTATTCCTGTGTTGTGTATATAGTATATTTTTGTTCAGTAGAGAATTGTCTGTACTACCTTTGTGCAGATGAAAGATGGATTTGATAGTGTTCATGCTTTGCTGCTACTGCTGAATTTCCACCATAAGTCTGGAAATTTTTGGCCCACTAAGTTAGAATTTGGAGGTTCCTGGTTTCTTATTGGAAATTTACCACTTTTCATACTGGTGATAACTCTCAGGCTTAAATATAAATCTGCATGTTTTCCAGGAGATTTCTTACTACATTTAAAAACTAAAGCTGTTTGGTTTTGCTCTCCACACAGTCCAGCCTTTTCTCCTACTTGATACAGCAGTGAAGTCATAATGCCAAAATCAGGACATCACAATTCTTTCCATGGCAATAAATTGACATCACGAAAACATGATTTGTGACTTCACTACAGGATCAAGCAGAAAGAGAAGATGTATTTGTAAATACCTAAAATTAGCCAAGAGAGAGTTGGAAAAAACTTCTTGCATATAAATAGTCTCTTCACCTTCCTCCATCCCCCTCCCCATAAGTTTTACACCAGAATGAAGAGGGATCCTCCCTAAAATATTGAGTCATTGGACTTTAGTACATCTCAACAGGGGTCCATAGCTTTGGAAAATAGACCAAACTAAAGGTAGCTTAGTTGTTTTGTGGTCATGCTGTGTCCTAATATGTAAATTGTCTGAAGAAAGCAGTCTAGTAGAACACTATAATGTGCAGAGCAGAATTATAAGCAAGCTGTCAGTAGGACCTGTCAGGACTTTAAAATGTAGATTGAGCTATCATAGTCACTTGTGGGTGTTTGCCTAGATTGTGAATCATAATTATCATTGAAGCAAGTTTCCTATTCTGAGCAGTGGAACTTGAAGCTATGTCAGGTAAGAGGCTGTGGAACTTAAAGGGAGTGAGAGATGACCGGGGGGATAGGGGGTGGGTAATTGCATTAAGTAATGTTGAATTATGTCATTATCAGATGGAAAGCTGTCAGAAAGTAGTCTTTGTTCAAGCTAAAACTTCAGTTATTTGTGTGCATGAGTAATACTGAATTAACTCTTTAATGACTTTAGGTGTTTTTAAGGGAGGGGAATTTAAAATTTTTTTTAATTATTTTTACACTGCTAATCAGGTAGGCTTAAAGAAGTTATTTAGCTATAGTTGAGATTCTGATGCATCCAGTATTTTATTTGTGTTGTGCCAACATTAGACATTGGTGTGACACTGAAGATGAGGTTGTCTACTTTGTACATTTATATATAATAATTCATGATTCTGCATCATGCCAGTCTCATATCTGTGTAGTTAGAAAATGTATTCTAACCCTTTACATAAATAGTGTATGAATAAATAATTGTACTATTTCTTCGAGTGCTGGTCCCTATGTGTATTCAACACATGGGTACACATACATGTCATGCACCCAAGTCCAGACATTCTTCAGAGCAGTGTCCACTGACTCACACATGCACAGTGATTTCCCTTGTGCGCCTGACTGAGAGTATAAGGAGCAATGCAGATCAATGCCTTTCCAGTTCCTTCTTACTGTCTCATGGCCTGAGTTGGAATCATGTCCTCCTTCAGTGTATAATCTGTAAAGTAATCTTGTTGTAAATAGTTTTTATATCTAGTTTATTAGTTTTAGTTAGCATATGTTTATAGTAGGTGTAGGATAAGTTCCCCACCACCCCAGCCCCCATTCGGGGGACAATCCTTTCCGGTCCTGGGACTATGCCCAGAGTCCTGAGACTCAAGAGTTGCGTCTCCTGCCCTCATTCCTTCTCCATTAGTGACAAGCATCAGTGGTGCCGGTACCAGCTGGGTGAAGCACATATATCAGCAAAGTGCAATATCTGCTCATCTTTTCCATCCAGAACTAGAGAGGCATGAAAGTTCTGTCTTAGGAAGTTTCTGATGGAGGAGGATGAGGCCCCATGCTCTCGCTCTCTCTCTCCCCCTTCCCCCCACTCCTCCTGGTACATCGGCCTCAACTGACTAGCAGCACCCTTCCAGGCACGAGCTTTGGAGCAAAGCCTTTACCACTGAAGACCAAAGACGACTCCTACAGGGCTCCCCATGAGAGTAAGGGACACTTTCATGGGCGCAAGGATAGATCCCGTCAGAGGACTGTTCATAAGAAACCCATTTCCTCCCTGAGCTGATCTAGGTTGGGCAAGACATCACAAATGGAACCCACGGAACTGGCTCTGACAAAGACTCCCAGGTTGGAGGGCAAGGCACGAAAAAAGAGGGTCCCAGCGGTGACAGTGGGACCAAAGCAGAAAGACAGATACACACCAATCCCTTCTACAAGTGGTGTCTGGGCCCCTCATTGGTACCACCTCGTTTACCCAAAGACTGACCCAGTGGCAACAGATGAGCCACGTCCTTCAGGTGTCCCAGCTGGAACTCCCCGAACTCCGGGCCATACGGAGACCTTCATAATCCCAGAGGATATATTACTCCCTTACCTGCAGTCTCCACTCCTCTTGGACCCTGCATCCCTGAGGAACGTCTTTACCCTGGAGGAGGAATCATTCTCGATGTCTCAGGAGTAGTTACATCCCCCAGACAAGAGTGTCTGCTATCAATGGTTCCACCAATGCTGATGGAATCGTCATCAGAATTAGAAGAGCCAGAGGAGATGGAGGCATCAGTATCTCCGAGAAGGCACAGGAGTCCCGACAGGCACTCGATAGGTTATACCTATCACCCAGAGGATAACATCACTCCTTTCTTGTCTTCTGCACCAGATGACCACCAGCAATACCAGGAGCTAATGCAAAGGGTCGCTAAAAATCCACATATCCCTTTGGAAGAGGTCCAGGACCCTCAATGCTGACTCTTGGACATTTTACAACCACAAGGACCCGCCAGAGTAGCCCTACCGATCAACGAAGCCCTATGAGGGATGGTGTCCCTAACCTCTGTTTGTCAGAAGCTGAGAATGGGCAATGGGATGGATCACTTAATGGTTACCTGTTCTGTTCATTCCCTCTGAAGCACCTGGCATTGGCCACTGTCGGAAGACAGGATACTAGACTAGATGGACCTTTGGTCTGACCCAGTATGGCCGTTCTTATGTTCTTATATTAGATCCAGCCAAAGCAGTTTGGTACACACGTGCATCTTGTGCCCCTATGCCAAAAACGGCCAAAAGATGCTACGGTGTTCCTGCCAAGGGAGCTGACTTTCTATTTTTCCATCCTGCCCCTAAATTACTGGTGGCATGGGCGGCCAGAGAAAGACTTAGGTGCACTACCAGACATCCACATTGGTAGAGAAGGGCGCAAAGAGACTGGACCTCCTAGGTAGGAAGGTCTTCTCCTCTGCAGGTCTGCAATTTCATTTAGCTAATTACAAAGCCTTATTAACAAAACACAATTTCAACACCTACATCAGACTTATGGGCTCCCAGTGGAAGACCGAGCCCAATTCCAAGCTTTCCTGTTCAAAGGAAAACTAGTGACAAAGTTGCAGTATCAAGCTATCAAGCTGCAGTAGATGCCGGAGATACTGCATCCAGAAATTTGGCCACACAGGGCTGGTCATGCAAAGGGACTCCAATTGTCGGGCTTTCCTAGAGAGGTCAAAAACACTATCCTTAGACTTCCCTTTCGACAGGTCCCACCTGTTTAAATAAAAGTCCATTCTGCGATCCCTGGGGATTTACACTTCAGCCCCCAGGAGAAGAAACCAGAGACAGCCCTTCAGGCCACAACCACCCCCTGCAGATGCTCCATATTATCAGTGTCCACCTGAGCCTCTGGCAGCTCCTACTTCCACAGCCTCTGCTTATTCCCAACCTCAGGCCAAAGGCCATTTTTTACATGCAGGTTGAGACTTGCTCACCACTGTTCATGCCACTTACGCCTTCCCCTGTCAAGTTTGGAGGTCATCTTATCCTCTTCACCCACACCTGGAACAAGATCACCGTGGACATTTGGGTCCTGGAGATTATACATCAGGGATACTCTATAGAGTTTCTTTCCTTCTCCCCTCACAATCCACCTCCCCAATCCCCCTGCAGGGACCACTCTCATCAGAATCCCTTTTAAACCAGGGAGCAGTAGAATGTGTCCCACCTCAATACCATGGAAGAGGGTTCTTACTCCCCATATTTCCTATTCCCCCAAAAAGACAGAGGATGGAGACCCATCATGGACCTTTGACGACTCAATGTCTTTATTCTGAAACTGAAATTCAAGATGATTACGCTGGCATTGATAATCCGCTCCCTTCAGGAGGGAACATGGTTCACGGCTCTCGACATGAAGGATATATATTTCCACATTGATATTCATGCATCTCACAGGAAATTCCTATGCTTCATAATCACCCAAGATCACTACCAGTTTTGTGTCCTCCCTTTTGGGCTTGCTGCAGCACCCAAGGTATTCACAAAAGCGTTTGCTGTAGTAGCAGCCCAGATGCGACGCCAGGGCTCTACACCGTGTTTCCATACCTAGACGACTGACTCCTGGTGGGCCAATTTCATCAAGAAATCATGTCAGCCATGGAATTTATTCAGCACCTTTTTGCTACCTTAGGGGTTTGCATAAATAAAGAAAAGTCCATTTTATGACCTACGGGGACAATAAACTTTATAGGATCCCAGCTGGACTGAGTTTCTGCAAAAGCATTTCTCCCGCAGACAGGTTCCACACAATGAGCAACTTGATCTCTGACATTACATGCAGACCATGAACTACTGTGCAACACTGCCTTTCTCTGTTAGGCCACATGGTCACATGCACCTACGTGACACCATTCACTAGACTCCGTTTGCGGGGACTACAAGCATGGCTTCATTCAACTTACCGACCAAGCAGAGATCACATCGACTCCAGATGCCAGTGCTTTTACTTACATGATGTAGCATTATTTCTAAAATGCGTAGAACAGTGCCCTAAAGAAATTAAAGGAAAAAGATGGGAGAGGGTAAGTGATGTCCAGCAGCAACACAGTGGTGTAGTTCTGAATTATCCAAAGGGGTTTCTTCTTAGATCTCCTCAGTTTCTCGTTTCATCGCCAGTGTTTCAACAAAAACAGCAAGAGGTAGCTCCAGAATGCCCCTTCATTTACCTATGCACAAGTATTGGATGATGATAACTTGTGGTGTATGTGTTTAAGTTCAACATTATATCTAAATGGCTTGTCCCTCCTGGCCAATGAAAGGGTTCTGTTGTGGATGATCTCCATACAGATGGACCTTTTACCATAGTTAGTTCATTGCAATTGGTCCTACACAAAGGTCTGATGTTACTGGGAGGTAATGTTTGTTCCAATCTTCGTTTTACAGAAGTTTTACAAAGAAACATAATCAAGTAAGTTCTAGTAATTTAGCTACACTTTAATACTTACAATAAGTTGTGCTAAATGAATTCTTCAATATAATGAGCCACTTAGGGAGGGGTTTTACCAAAGAATCCCTATCCATAGCTGTCTCTAGCACAGTTTCCAACAGAAATTGCAACTAACAAACACTCTCCTTAGCACTACTGTAAATCTGGAATAATTGCATGGATTTCAACCATTATTCTGAATTTGGAATTATATAAATGAGAACAGAATGTGGGCCATCTTGTTTCATTTTTAGTTTTGATCTTACTGCTACAAGATTTTGAACAATATAGTTTGACCTCCTTCATATAAACCTGAGGTTCATCGAAATTCTACTAAATTTAGAATGTCAATGAATCATTTATGCATTGGAAAAGTAAGAATACAAAAACCGATGCTATGAAAAGTGCTTCAGTTGTGGGTTACTATGAAACAGTCTTTGAGTTAGGGTGTAATAAAATATTATTCGTGTGCATCATTCAAATGGTTGGAGTATTACAAGGTTTAAAGTAGTTAGCCTGCAAGGTAGTGGTGGTGGTTGGTTATTTTTGAAATCTACTTGTATCTGCAGTGTAGCCCCTGGAATCACCATTAAAGTTGCCCTCCCCAATCTGAAATGGCACGCCTCTCTGGGCTACCAGCTTCCTTGCACCCTCCTTCACTCTGAGCACTGCCTGCTAGTCACCCATGTGTGGAATACACATAGGGACCAGCACTCGAAGAAGTAGTGGAGATTACTTACTGCAACTGGAGGTTCTTAGAGATGGGTAGTCTCTGTCTGTATTCCACCACCTGCCCTCCTTCACCTATGTTTTGGATCCTGTTGGATTGCGGTAAGAGGGAACTGGAGAGTCATCGACCCGTACTGCCCATTATAACCTTGGTCAGGAGCACAAGGGAAATTACTGTGCATGTTCAGGTCGATGGATACTGCTTTGAAGAATTTCTGGACTCGGGCACATGGCGTACATGCATACCTACATGTGGAATTACAGATAGGGCCACACATCTCGAAGAATCTCCAGTTACAGTAAGTAATCTTCTCTTCTCTTTTAAATGGATTGTCAATATGCATTACCATTCTAGGGCCATACATGCTCCTTTGAGACAAAATCCTATGGAAAGCAGTGACTCTGGGGCTCACTAACATGCTATCTTCCTTCATCAGCTTTTTCCTTTATTTTGTGTAAAGAATTAGCATTGTAATGTTAGCTTAGATGTTTGGATAGCTTTTGTCATTGCATAGTACTGAGGTGTCTGGTCCCATGCCCAGTTCTGAGCACATTTGTCAGCACCTGTTCCTTCAACCCTGGTCAGATCCCTTGGAGTTTGAGATTATATTATGGCATGCCCTAGTGTAAGAGATGGACTTAAAAGCTGTGCATCTTGTGGTACAAAGAAGACACTGACAGACCAGCATTTCCGATGCCTAAAGTACCTCAGTGAAGGTCACTCACAGGGTCAGAGCATGGCTTGTAGTCCTTTTATCCTTCATACCCATAAGCAGGCGGATGCCAAGCTTTATTCCCTGTTCTTGGGAAAGCGTTGCTGGATGGTCTGCTCTGAGTTAAAAAGCCTAGCCATTTGGAATCATTTGGATATTTTTGGCACCAAATAGATTTCTGAATCATGGCTCCTAGAAATCCTCAGGTTCAATTAAACTCAAGGAAGGGCAGTGTGTTGTGCTTGGCCTTAACTTCTTACTCCTTGATATAAAAAGGAAGATAAAAATGAAAAGTCATGACTTAAATATAAGAATTTGTCGCAGAAGTCACGGATTCCGTAACTTTTCAGAAACCTCTGTGACGTTTTCCGTTCAGCTTCAGCCCTGTTTGTGGGGTGGCAGAAGCAGCATGATCCTCAGCCACTGCTGGCAGCGGGTACTGGAACACCCCCCCAACATCCCCTCCTCCCCCCCCAGCAGTGGGGCTTAGGCTCTCATCCCCGCCATGGGTCTCGGGCTTCAGTCATCCCTGCATCACACCCTTCCCCCACTATTATTTTTAATAAAAGTCACAGGTCATGGGCTTCCATGCATTTTTGTTTGTTGTCCGCAACCTAAAAATACTAAAAATAACAGTGACAAAATCTTAACCTTGGTCATGACTATTCCTCTGGGTATTTCGGAATCCCCCAGGAAGGGTCTGTTTTGAAAGTAGGTTAGCACCAGCAGAGGCCTTGGCATTGAGGCTTCTTGGCACTGACAGATTCCTCTGTGTTGGTGTGTCTGTTGGTGCCCAGCAAGGTTGGACGGGTGAAGTCTAAGCAATTTGTTCAACTTTTGTTGTCTTCTTGCCAACCTTCTCAATGCCAGTTTAACACTCAATCTCTGTTGCTGTAGTGTAGGTGAGGAATTAGCTGACACTCACAATTGTCCTGTCCATTTTTTCCCCACCTTCTTTGAAATGTCAGTCTCCCGTTACCATTAGGCAGTTTGAGGTATCCTAGAAATTGAGGCCTCTGGCCCAGGGATTTTTGGTGTCCATTCTGCTGCCATCAGAAAGGGAGTTTGAGACCCATCCAACTGTTACAAGCTCAAAGTCCAATCTTTATTTGAAAATTGCCAGTGATGGAGAATCCAGCACAACCCTTGGTAAGTTGTTACAGTGTTGAATTAGTCAAATGATAGATCCCTCATACATAGCATTCTGTAAAGATAAGTTGGTTCCACAACCTATCCTAAGTTTCACCCAGGTGTTAAGTTGCAATTTGGATGGAACTAAGCATATCAGTGAGTCAGTCCCCTAGACTGTTTGTATCATCTAGGAAAACAAGCTGAAATTCCCTTCAATCTCCCCCTTTTCCTGTCCCTAATGACACCTGTGGTAGTTTGGGGGAGTGTGGCTGTTTATTCCCCCCACGCCCTGGACTTTTGCCGGCTCCCTATCTTGGGAGGGTAAGCTGACATGGCTATCTGAACCCTTCTTCTATCTCGATGTTTAATCTTCCCTCTCTCCATCCCACCACCCCAACTTCCCTTACTGGTTCTGCTACCCCTGCTTTCCGGGAAGCTACTTCACCCATAATAGATGGGCTGCCTCCCTACAATGATGTCTGAGAGGGAGCTTCCTAAGGCTCACTCAGAATAGCAGCAGGGATCCCAGGTGTTCTGGAAAACTTCCCCAATTAGTTTATCAGCTCTTTTGAGCTATAACTGATCCTAACACTCACTTTTTCTTATTTTTTTTTTTTTAAAAGGTGGGGGTATTATGTTTATACCAGTACTTCAATCGTCTGAAATTGGGGAGCTATACTGACAAACAGAAAGAAGAAAGATAATTGACCAGTAACTGTAGTGTAACCATAGATCCTCACTTCCCACCACCATTCTTCTTCTATGTCTTCATTTTAGATTCTGAATACATAGAAGGAACTGAGGGACAGTTATGGCTGAGGATCCCTTCCATGCCTTCAGGTCTTGAAGGTTCAATTCTGCATGGAAGCATTGTGCAACCCCAGCTGCTTTCGAGAGGGTTCCGACTCAATGGCAAGAGAGCATGTGCGTCCTGCTAGTGTTAATATGTACTGACACTATACTGTGAGAGCCTCAGTTACTGATTAGCAATCTATCTTTAGGCTGTATCCTTAGTTTCCATTCTACTTTGTATAAGGAACTGTTTGATGGCAGGAGCTTAGATGTGCAGCAGCCACTGGTGCCACATATTTATTCAGTTTCAGTCAAAATGACGTTAAAGTCAAGTTGCAGTGTCTATCTTCTGGGTGCTGTATAAATCATTAGTCTCTTGTATCATCAATAAAGATACAAAACAGAATGTTTCCTAATTGTGCATCACAGTGAGGCTTTTGTATAGCATATCACCTTGTAAAGAGAAACAATTTTGTGTTTTCTGAATTAATATATTATGTACACACAGTATGTGTATGTATGTTTTGAATAATGAAAGTAACTCAGAATATGCTGCTAATTGTGGTTGATTGCTAGAGTGGATACTTTCAGTTCACAGCCTCCCATTCTTTGTTCTGACTATTCTGAAGGTATTTTATTCCGTGTTCCAGTCCCTACTTTTGGTACACGGTATATTTGTTAGTGAGTAGGAAGGTTTTGGATGTATGTTTAACATTCCTATAAGGCAACCTTGTGTGAGTTTGTTGGACACACGTTGTAGAATGATTTGCCAACTCAGGATGGTTTCAAGTTATTTCTTACGATTGCTCCTTTGATATATAGCTAGTTTTAGAACATTGTTATGATATACACATTTATTTTACCTGCTGCAAAACCTAAATTTGCAAAATACCTGATGGTATTTGTGGGCATTACGGCATGGGGAGAAGTGCTTACTTCAGCAATTTTTAGGTATCAAGGATATTTGGTTGGTTTTACATATACATTCATATCCATCCACAGTTGCTGGTGCTTGGATAGGCTGATAAGCATGTTATAAAATGCAAATAGACTGCTTCCCTCCTTCAGATCTAACTTTAACTCTGATGTCCCAAGAGTCAGATAATCTTAAGGGAAATCCAAAATTTGTCTTCTGCATGGGCACCAACACACTTGCCACTGTGGTGCCACTTTCTTTTCTTTTATACCGAAGAATTCTGCTTCACTTTATCATGCTTTCTATAACATTTCATTCATGGTTAGAGGAAGCTGGTTGCCTGGTTTGTATTTGCACATGATGTAGTTAGAATTGCTTATTCTGCAGCAAATACCATTTTGCCCATCTTTCTTAGTTGCTTCTTTGCTGGTTCTGCAGGGTCATCCCCAACATCATCTCAGAATGCCACGCTGCCTTCATCGAGTGCCTGGCCGCTTAGTGCCTCCGGCTACAGTAGCTCTTTCAGCAGCATTGCATCCGCACCTAGCATTGCAGGTACGAGAAATGGCCTTTCTACTTTCAGCATCCCTCTCCATCCCCAAAGAGCAAAGGCCCTGAAAAAGTGCTTTCCTCTGGTTATTATAATAGTACTACTACAGACTTCATATCTTTTGAGCACTGTGCTGCTCCCACTGGCAGCTCTGCAGTGGTGAGCATTTTAACCAGGTGTCTGGAGTTGTGAATATCTGATAAGTGCGCTAATGAAATATATATTCAGCCCACTTCATACCATGATGCTACCACTTTATTTTGGCATTCATACTTTTTCAACAAAGTTTATTTTTGCTCCAACTGTGAGGCAGAATGTTCTCTGCAAGAACTCAATGATAACACTATTGCTGGATCTTACCAGGAAAGGTTGATCTGAAAGCTATTGCCAGTAAATACAGTTTCAAAACTGAACAGTTTTCAGCCCTATTAATACACAGGAAACAGTTTAGCACTAGCTCAAGGAGGTGTTTTGATTATTTTTAATAAGAAAGCTAAATAGGAATAAGTTTGTTTGTGTTTTGCCTGTCCCTTTAGTTAAGTAGCTGCTATAAAGTTCTAACCCCAGTATTGTTAGGATTTCTTTTAGTCCAGCAAACTCATGACATGGAAGCTGTAGAAAAACTTTTAAAATCTCCAAACTCAAGTACTGCCACAATAATCAAGGCTTCATATTTCCCACTGCAGTTAAAAACACAAACCAAATGCAAAGCGATGCAATCCTGTCTGCCGAATCCTGTCTATCTCAAAAATAACTAAATCTTCAGAGTACTGAAAGCTGGAAATGTGGAGCCAGTATAATATAAAAATACCCACTCTACTGATTGCTTTATTCATGTTCATATTTAATAAATTAAAAACTTCATTTTAATTTAAATGAAGCTTGAACATCCAGGGACCTTAGTGCAACATTTAGGTCCACGTTGCCACAAAGCAAAGGGGCCTGGAAGTGTTCTGTTACAAGGAGGGTAAAGTAATGGCTTGCTTATCCCTTAATTTTATCTGCCATGCATATTTCCTTTTTATGTGTTTGTTTTTTTGCTGTTACATCCTATCTGCATGTGAACCTCATAAGAATCAGTGACATCTCAACATCTAACTTTTATTAATGCACATTCATTATACATTAAATTGTAGGCCCAGCTGCTGCTACTAGTTCTAAAAATCAAACTTTCAAATTTCTTTTCTCAAGCAGTTACTTGAACAATATTAACAACTTCCTTTTTGTCACTGCAGTTTGCACAAAAATATGGGCCTGACAGGCCTCTGACTTTACACCAGTTTGACTCCGTTGACATCAGTGGAGTTGCTCTTGATATACATAGGTTAGGTGTTAATGAGAGGAGGAGAATCTGGCTCTATATCTTTGGTATGTGTGTAGCTACATGAAAGACAGGCAGGTGTGTGGAAGATTAACGGTGAAATGTTTCAGAGATGATCATTTGACAGTGTGCATTTTGTTTGGTAGTGTCTATAATTTGAGTTGGTCCTGTTTGTGTTAATGACACCAAAATGCTAACCTGTCCTTTTTTTGTTTTAATGTTTGTCTTTGAAATGTATAATTTTAGGTCATTATAGTATGTTTGATAAAACTCTGGTTTGACAGGAATTGGAATAAAATAATTATGATACCAATATAAATGAAGGTAGTATTCAGAGCATAACAAAAAATGGCCAACAAAAAGTTGTAAGAACTGGTAGATTGTGATATATAGGGCTTTTCTTGTGAAGATTGATCGTGTTTCAAAGAGGAACTTGTAAAAGAATCCATACGCCTGATGCGTTTATCTTTGAATATTCAGCAGCATAGGAAATTTTGCCCTTTCTACTACTTCTGGAATCAGCTTAATTCTGAATCATGAGAACTCGTGTGTGTGCTAATTTCTGTATTTTAAATAACAGTGGTTGTTGCTTCTTGGGTGCAGAAAGTATAAACTTCATTATTTTAATAATTTTGGCTAAATAACTTAGAACATATACAGTAATGATTTTATTTTTGATTTTGGCTAATCAAACATATTCTCTAGTCTTGTTTTAAGGTTCTTTGTCCTTTATCAGAAAGAGAAGTACTGGGAGCTGCAATAGCAAGTGGACAATAGTAACAAATGTCAGATACTAGTAGATTATAATAATGAACAACCTTGAGGATCACCTCTTCACTTACTGGAGTTGCAGATTGTTCAGATTTTTTTTTAACTTGCTTACCAAAAATACATGAATTACGTTTCTCTGTTGCAGGTAAATTGTCAGACATCAAGTCTACATGGTCCTCTGGCCCAATCTCTCACACACAAGCCTCTCTATCCCATGAACTATGGAAGGTACCCAGAAACACTACTGCTCCTACGAGACCACCTCCAGGTTTAACAAACACCAAGCCATCATCTACCTGGGGTGCCAGCCCACTGGGTTGGACCAGCTCTTATTCCTCTGGTATTCCTCTGACTCCTACATTTTATAATATTGCAATGCTCTGTTTGTTTTTATTCTCCATGTTACAGTAGTATGGCACCCTTTTGCTCTAGTACTATGCTGCAGGTACTTGAGGTTCAATAAATGCAGTTGAAATGCAGGTTTCATTTTCTATCACTTAGGGTGGCTCATACTCAAAATAAAGTCATGGGTCAGTAGAGCATGTTTCCAATCAGTGGGGAATAATTCCACTACAACAGGGGTCTTTGTTTATAATACTTTTGCTCATTTTTTCTAAATATCTTGAGACCTTTTTCTTGCTTTGTGGCAGGTGTTTTTCTGTACATTGTTGCAAGACTTCAGTATTAGCTAATTAATCAGTAGAATTTATTACATAGAATACACATCCACTGCTTAATTTTTGCCAGGACTGAGCCCCGGCACCTCTAGGCTTGGCAGTTTATAGCCCTGGCACCTCTGGGGTTGCCACATCAGTTTTGAAAGTAAAAAAATTGCTTGAACCCCCGCACCTCTTTCATTACAAATTAAGCACTGTACATCTCTATAGCAGGGATGCAAAACATCCAGGACCTGATTATCCTGTCAGTTGTACGATGAATACAACTGAAGGGATGATGGGGCCCCCAGACAGTAAGGTATAATTTCTTTTCCGTCAATCTGTTTCTTTGGCTGTCATAATTTTGTTTATACACAAATTAAAGGGGGAATATGTATATAATAGCTATATACCCTGTGTATTTGTTTATCATAAAGCATCTGCATCAGAAAAAAATGTCACTATTAATACCTGACTATTCTATCAATCATCTTCCCAAAAAGCTGGGAATTAAATGTTCTCCCCAATTGTCAAAGGCTGTCGCGTCCACCCGATGGCCACAGAGTGCTGATGCAAGGATTCCATCTGCAGCCTCAGTATTTTTACCAAAGTGACTTTAGAACTATTGCAGTTTTTCAAATGCCACTAGAAAATGTCATCTCTGTTGCTTTTAAATTGTCACTTGCTGGCTAATTCCAGTGTAACCTGAAGAAAGTTTTGGTGACATATTAGCTTTCACCAATATAGTATCACAGTGGCTACCTACGAAAGAGATGGCAGGAATGTGAGAAATCCCACTGGTCCTTCAGAGCCAACTGGGAGCATTCTAGTCATGGAGCTCCCTCCTTTCATTCCAAATAAGAAAGGAAAAGAGGATGGAGATAAATTGCTTATTGGATTGCTCATGAGCGTGTTTACAATAGCAGTTGCATTGCTAGTGTGTTGTATCTTGCACATTCTTTATTCCTGGTGAGTTTGATTGTTGTATTGTGCTCTCACTAAGATGTTAAATTGTTCCCTTTCTGGATTTATGATATAGGTTCTGCCTGGAGTACTGACAGCTCAGGAAGAACAAGCAGCTGGCTGGTTCTGCGTAACCTCACACCCCAGGTAAGCAGAATAATATGACTGACTACGCAAAGAACCATGCTATACTTAAGAGATGGTAGGAAGAACGCTTATCAGCTCTGGTAATTTTGGTCAACTGCAATGAGTATATAATATTCATCTATGTAGCAGTAACTGTAATATGTTGAGATAAATCCACACAGTGGATTTAAGGGTTTTAATGGGAGCCATTGTGGGCTCGTGGATAGCACACTGGATTAGAACTCAGGAATCCCTGGTTCTGTTCCCAGCTCTGCTACTGGCCTGCTGGGTGATCTTGGGCAAGTCACTTCCCATGTCTGTTTCCCATTAGTAATTATACCTTTTGTAAAGCACTTTTAGATCTGTGGATGAAAAGTGCTATATAAGAGCAAATCAAATATGAACTCTGAGTCTGTATAATTAGCCATTCCAGTGTATATCATTTATTTGTTTAAAAGTTAGTTGTGAGAATGGTGTTTTGGGGGAAATTCAAAGATTTGAAGTCCCAATTTTTCTGGGGTTTCTCTTATTCTCCCCAATCTGTCAATTCCTCTACTCCTCTCCATAGTATAATTCACATGGAGAGGCATAAGACTGAAAGCAGTGGGTGCAGAGACCAGGAGATGTCATGAATTAATATAAACTATGTATGAACAAGCTGCATTCCCAATCAACCCTTGGTAGGCATGTAGTGATAAATATTTTTATATTAATTTAAAATAACTGGCAGGTTCTGTGTGCTGAACTGTAGAGAACTTGAAAAGTAAAGATTACCTCCTCCTAATAAAATAGTGACACATCTAATTAGATTCTTTTATCTTGTGGGAGGAAACTACATTTGCACTCTATGTAAATGTTTTCCTTTATCATTTAAAGCCCCTTCCATTAACAAATATACTAAGGATAACCATAGAAAAACAAGTCAACTTTTTTCTTCCTCTGCAATTAGATTGATGGTTCTACACTGCGGACACTGTGTTTGCAACATGGCCCTCTAATTACATTCCACCTGAACCTGACACAAGGGAATGCTGTGGTCCGCTACAGTTCCAAGGAAGAAGCAGCCAAGGCCCAGAAGTCTCTGCATATGTACGTTTTTTCTCCTCTTTTCCTTTTTTCTGTAAAGGAAAATCTAGTACAGCGCCTGTTCTCCTAAGCATTCGCTTGTTATGGCACTGAATTGCTCTGCGGAATTATTTGGTGGTGTCTTGGAAATTATCTGTTAGCAGAAATTGTAGGAGAGCTGCATAAAGAAAAAGTACTTGTGGACTAAATACACTCAGAAGTAGTGTATGAAGTGCCATTATAGAAATCGATGGTGGGTGTTCACCATAAGTACTGTGTTCAGTTCTGCTCACACCACCTCAAAAAAGATACAACAGAAATAGAAGGGACCCAAAGACAGTCAACAAAAATGATGAAAGGCATGGAAAAAATTCCATATGCAAAACAGAAAAGACTAGGACTGTTTAGTTCACAGGAAAAAATGAATAAAAGAGGACATGCTAAAGGTAATCAGAATGAGGAATGGTGTAGAGAAGGTAACTCATGCACTGGTATTTACTTTTTCCCAAGGGGACTGCCAATGAAACTGAAAGACGTTTAAACTAATAAAAGGATGTTCTTTTTAAACCACATTACTAAAAGAAAAGAAAACACCTGTAGAACTCATTGCCACAATCTGTCATTGAGGATAAGATCTTAGTAGCAGTTAAAAGGGGATTTGGCATTTACAGGGATGAGAATATACATAATTACATTAGATAGATTTTAAAATATAAGGAATATAAATCGTAATGTTTCAGGACATAAGACCACCACTAATGGCTAATAATTAAGAAGAAATTTGCCCTATTGGCAGATTATTCATCATAATAATGTAAAGCACTCTTCTCTGAAGCATCTTATGCTGGCCACTGTTGGAGACAAGATACTGGGCTAGATGTAACACTGGACTGATCCAGTATGGCAGTTCCTATGTTTCCCTAGCCTTTAAAATTATGGGGCAATAGTCACTCCAGATGCAAAGTTGCAGCTAGCTTCCCATGATGAGCCTCATTAGATAAAAGGATAAAGTGTATGTAATGTAGAAAAATTTGCATAATGATATGCCTGGTGGTGTTGCTTTTTAAAGTTTTGACCTTTCCTTAATTAAAGACTGTGTGGCAGCATTCAGAACAGATAAAGGTCAAAAATTGCCCTGACTTAATGATTTCAGTTTAGATGTGGGACTAAGTTAGAAAGAATTCTATCCTTAAGGGGGTGTTTATGCTGTAATATTGAAAATGTAGATTTAAAAATCAGCGTATATTTTAAGAGTATACAGTACATCCTCAATGTTCTCCAAGGTTTCAGAGCCATCCATATAAAGGAAGAACTTTGATTAGCGGGGAAATAATGTTAGTACATATTGCTGCTAAGGACATGACAGACCTCTGCTTTACAGAGGTTGGGTATTGGGTTGTGCTATATGTATTGTGTACAGATACAAAAACATATTGGTTTGGAGGGCAATAATGGTAAATTAAAAAGGGATTTCAAAAAGTTAACAAGATTGTAACATACCGTATATACTCGTTCATAAGTATATACTCGCTCAAATTTTTTTAGTAAAAAAGAAAAGCACCAGAGAAGGGGGTTGGCTTATGAACGGGTATAGAGAGGGCGAGGTGGGACACAGCCCCTCCCCCCAACAGAGGGAGCAAGGAGAGGCAGCACAGCCAGAAGGGAAGAGGCGGGGCCAGAATCTCTCCTCTTCTGGCCACGCTGCTCTCCCCCCAGCCTCCGAAGCAGCTGCAGCTCCGGGGCTGGCAGGCTGCAGCCGTGCCACTCGGCCCCGCCCCTAAGAGCAGGCTGTGGCCACGCCGCCGGAGCACACTGCAGCCGGGCCACCCGGCCTAGCCCGCTGGAACATGCTGCGGCCGCACCGCCCGGTCTGGCCTGCTGGAGCAGGCTGCAGCCGCACTGCTCAGCCTGCCGGAGCAGCTCCAGACAGGTCAGAGACATCCTCCCCTGGCCCTCCCCAGATAAGGTGGGAAGTGATGGGATGGGGAGAGTGTGGGGGTCCCGGGCTAGGGGTGGGGTCATGTGGGGGGGTGGTCACAGGGGTTACTCCCCTGACTCCCAGCTTCTCCTCCCCCCAAAAAATTTCCCCACCAGTTGCTGTCCTGGCCCATCAAGGTAAGCAGCTGGTGCACTGGGACACTTTGATCACTTAGGTTTACCTCCGTGCCCGCGGACGCTCGAGGTAAACAAACCATCTCGGCCCACCAGCAGCTTATCCTGATGGCCTGGGAGCCAAAACTTGCTGACCCCTGAATTATAGTGTTGGCTTAGGAACAGGTTATAAAAATTTTCCATTTTTACTTATCCATCTTGGGGGGGTCGGCTTACAAACGAACTGGCTTATGATCGAGTATATCCAGTAATACTAAAAGACTTCAGCTATCATTTCACAATTGGACCTCAAATAATGGCTTACATGCAGTTAAAAATTATGCATCACTGAACTGACATTCAGGAGACCTAGGTTCCAACCCTACCATTGGCTCAATATATGACCTCAAGCAACTCACTTAACCTCTCTTTCTCATTTTCCCAACTTGTAAATTAGGAATAACAGTGCCTACTCACATTTGATATCTGATCTGAGATCCTCATAAAAATAGTGCTAAAAAACTTATGTTACGTATCACAATAAATCTCCACTCTTGGGCATGCAGGAAGGACAGACACTCTATATGTGCAAAATTCTAAAGAGGTTGATTCCAGCAGAGAACACATGCACAAACCCCAGCCATGGAACACAAGTATACCCACTTATGCTGCAGTCACTACTCCTTTCAGTTCTTTGTTATGTGTATCTCATGCACAAAATCCTGTGTACTCTGTGGAAAGCTTTACTTTCCAAAAACGAAAGAAGACACAGTCCCTGTCTTGAAAAGTTTGCAGACTAAAAGATACTGTCTGCAAGTGTGTGGCTTTTTATGTGTGCATATTGTGACAAAGCTCTGTCCTTGTCTCCATGGGTCCTGCATTTCCTGGCGGATTTCGCTAGTCTCAGAGGCTCACTGTGACCCTCCACGTAGCCCTTCTCTCTCTAGAGGCAAGGGTCACAGCTACTGAGCTATTTTCATCATAAACCAGCAAGGGAGGTGAGGAGAAGCTACCCTCCCTTGCACAGTCTCTGTTGTCTCCCAGTCTCAGTGATTAATCAGGGGGCAAAGAGGGGAAGCCCGGGCCCACCTTCTACTCCGGGCTCCAGCCCAGGGACCCTAATAGTATCAGCTATGGTAGCTGACTTTTTAGAAACAGGATGCATACAATTCCTGAGCCACTTTCCCACAGCAGCCCCCACTTCTTCAAGATCCACTTCACCCTTACCTCAGGGCCTCCTTCCTTGTGCCTGATATGGTTTGTACTGCTCAGTCTCTCCAACAGTGCAACTTCCTCCTACAGCTCCCGACACACGCGCTGACTAACTGGAAGGCTTTTAACTAGTTTCAGCCAGCCCCTGATTGGCTTCAAGTGTCCTAATCACTGTCTGTCCTCCCTGCCTTCTGGAAAGATCTTAATTGGTCTTAATTGACCTGGAGCAGCTGCCATTTGCTTATCCTGGTAATAGGGATTTGTTTAGCCTGTGGCTAATATATATGTCTCCCATTACTTTACTATAGCCATCGGGCCTTGCCCCGTCACAATATGCTTGTACACTTAAGTAATTATGAAGTAGAATTATTGGGATGAAAATGAGTTAGGGGTAGGAGTTTTAAAATTTTTGAGCTGGCCTAATTTGACCTCCTCCACTGAATTCAAAATGAAAATGAGCTTATAAAAATTCTACTCTCCTAGTATAAGCAGGCTATGATACTTGTGAAAATAGTGGCAGTTGTAACCTTGTGTTTCACTGTGTTGTGTTGTTGTTGTTAGGTGTGTTTTGGGAAACACTACCATCTTGGCTGAGTTTGCTGGTGAAGAAGAAGTAAACCGTTTCTTAGCACAAGGCCAGCCCCTGCCACCCACCTCCAGTTGGCAGTCCAACACTGGAACCAATCAGACTCGTATGGGCTCCACGAGCAGCTCTCATGGATTGGTGCGGAATGATGCAGGCCACTGGAATACTCCCTGCCTGGCTGGCAAAGGGAGCAGCGATTTGCTCTGGGGTGGGGTCCCTCAGTACTCAAGCAGCCTTTGGGGGCCCCCCAGCACCGATGATGGCAGGGTTATTGGCAGCCCAACACCTTTGAATACTCTGCTCCCAGGTGATCTTCTCAGTGGGGAGTCCATCTAGGAAAGAGAGAAACAAAGTGGAAATAACAATCATCAGCACTAAAGGAAAAAATTGTAACCCTTTCCAGTCCAGGGCTTCACGAAGAATCCAGCTTTAACAGATCAGACTGGCAGCCCTTTTTAGTACCTCTGTCCAATATCGAATATGAAACTCTGCAGAAGTCCTTGTGAACTGTTAATGAAACAGTATGGGCTACATTTGGTCAGTGTCACATGCTAATGACAGGTTTTATTTTTTTCATGGCTTTTTATTTTATGTCGTCTTTTTATGTTTGTATGGTGTTTTTAAAAACAAAGTATAAAAGCTGCTTAGAATAGGTCTATCATGAAGGGCACTTTTCAGAATTTGGGCTGGAAAGGGTTATTTTATCAACTTTGGGGGGAGGGAGAAAATGAAAGCCTATTTTAAATGAGCCTGTGACTATTATGCACATTACCAGAGGCGGACCCAATAATCAGAAGAGTGGAGTGTGATATTCATCTTTGGTACAGAAAAGTAATGAATCCGAATGGTAACTATTGACTGTACAGGTTGAATTTGGAGGGTGGGGGTGGGGTATCTGTGTCCACTGCTCCCATGGATCTGCCTATGCACATTACCCTTGTTTCATTACTTTTTCATGTCATTTTTTTAAAATCCCCCAAAAATATAAAAAGTTAAAAAAAAAAAAACACATATCAAACATGCAAATACTTGAATCCAGCAGGCCAATAACAAAATGTGAACACTTTCTAATTATTACACTTCCAGGTTGGCATCAATACACACAAAACAGGCTCTAGGAATTTTTTTAAAGTTCATACTATGTGTTTGTGTTGGAACAGATGTATGTGTGTGAGTGAGCTTGTATGTGTGTGCGTGTGTGCGCGCCCGTGTGTGATTTAACAAAAGTGTGATTTTTTTTTTCTCTTATTCAGTATATATGCTTTTTATTTGCTCATTGGTCAAACGTTTGTTATTAGCTTCTAACTTTGCACTGAGTGTCCGCAGCCCTTCTTGTAGCTAATCCTATATGTTAAAAAAAAAAAAAAAAAAAAAAAAAAAAAATTGATAGGAGGGGCCGGCGACAATTCATGTGTAAATGTTTACTCAAGGACTCTTATTGCGTTTTAAAAATTACAGTGTGTATCTCTGGAGAATAATATGTATATCTACCTTTAGCGGCTTTTTATTGTGGACTAATGCAAGAAAATTATTACCGGAGTATTGCACCATTTTCCATTCGGAATATAAAGTTTAAAAAAAATACTCTTGTTGAACTGTGGCCATAGATATTTGTAAAGAGTGGATAGTTCCCCTGCAAGCAGGAACACAAACAAGCACTTGGACATAGTTTTGACTGCTTTTGGAGGAGTCAGGAGTTTTGGCTCCCACCTGTTTACAGACCTTTTTTTTCTCCTTCAAACTTTAAAATAAAAAAGGAATTAAAAAAAAAAAAAAAAAAAAAAAAAAAAAAAGACTTCCATCGTAAAGAAACCTATTTTCAGAATGAAGATATGCTACTTCAGAGCTCTGGGATTGAACAGTGTTGTTGTATTATCCTTTTCTTTGGCCATTGCTGTGTACTATTTTTTGTTGTTTTCCTCTTCTTCGTCAAAGTGGCGAAAACTTTGTGATCACTATCTTGCACATGGTGGAAGATGTCTCAGGAAAGCCGGGTTTCCCGAGGAGCAACTCCACACCATTTCATGTATTTTTAAACCCAACTCCTAGCACTGAAGATATTATTAAAAAAACAAAATAAAAAAAAATAAAAAGACAGAAGAAAATACCTAATCTAATGTGTAGCAGTTACATATTTACCAAATAATGGACTCAAAAGAAATAGATGTTTGAAGAGTGCTTTATATATTAAAAAAATTGCTTTATGTTTTAAAAAATGATCAATGTTTTTGATTGTTTTGAAAGGAAGAAAGACAATGGAATAACATGCCCTTCAAGTATGTTTTAAAAAATTATATGAACATTGTGCTCCCTGCCTGCTTGGATCAGGAAACTTGTGCATTACATTTTTTATTTTTATTTTTTTGGAAGATTAGCTTTTTAATGGTTTTATCAGATAAAAAGGGTCCTGCAAGATTGCAAATCAACAAAAGCTGGTTTTATAGAGGATCATGAACTATGCACAAACTGGGTTCAAGACTTGTTTTTTTCTCAAGTTTTAGTAGTGTATTTAGCTGAATAACCTTTCCTCAGAGTAATTGCATCTCATTGCCATTACACGCAATCTACATATATATTTTATATATATACACACACATAAAATATGTATGTGTGTATGTGCGTGTTTCCATACAGTACATAAAATTTTCCATGCTGAAGTTTAGCATTGAGTTGTAAAAAAACTCCTGATATTTTAAAATTGGCGATGGAAGTTAAAATTTCTGTTAAACCTTTTTTTTTTTTTTTTTTTTTGGCCTTTCATTTGGAATTAAAGATGTCTGTAACTCTGAGATTTTAAAAAAAAAAAGTTTGTGGCTTTTAATGTTATTTCTCCTCATAGAATGTGATTGTTAAAGAACATGCACCGAAAGTTGCTTTCGAGAGTACGAAGATTCTTTGAAACTTAATAAATTGCAGTTTTTTCTTGGCTGTTCAAATAAATGTGTATTTTTCTTTAATACAGGGGATACTAAAGGATTTTGTTAAATGTCAGTTTATTTCATGGAGGAAGTTTAACCCTTTCAATATTAATGAAGTTAAATGTGCAACCAGGCAAATTACTTCCATTATTAAAGTCTCGTCCTTTAAAGGTATGCTAATTGATGACTACACTCTCATAGTCTTTTACCAAATCACATTAGGAACATGTGGTGTATAAAAAAGCAGTTATCGCATTTTTGTTAGAATTAATTTGTTTCTGCTTCTGTTGTTTATCCATGCTTTTGTTTTCCTTTTAAATATGAATAGAAGCAGAGGTAATGGGACCCCACGTATCTCTGCTATAAATGATTATGATGAGGCCACCCAATTATTTTCATGTTTGTACCAACCAGGTTTTGAAACCAAGAGCCAGATCCTCAGCTGGTGTAAATCATCATAATTGCATTGAAGTCAGTGAAGCTATGATTCATACCAGCTGAGGATCTGGTTCCAGGTCTCCAGAGGTAGAAGGTGTACAACCCACTCTACTACCTGCCCTTTAAGAATTTTTTTAAAAATTGCAATATCTTCATAAAGGTAGTTCAGGGCATCTGAGAGGTTTTGAATTTTGAATACTGGAAGGGTTCTGATGGCAGTGTATTGCACTGGCCCAGCTTCCTAAAATTCTGTCACTGGCACAATGGCCAGTGATTCCATAAGTAATACATCTTCATTTAATAAGAAGGCTCCTTTGTGGAATAGAAACAGCTCTTAGTGAGTTTTGTGGCTAGTCTCAGCATATGACAATATTATCACAAATTATCAATTCTAGATATTGGGGTGATTTTTACTGTGTAAATACCTAAGATAGCTAGATCTGTCTATCTTGCTCATAAACATAGTAACAAAAATTACATAAATACAGAGGTATAAACATGGTGTTTGGTTCTCTGTTTCCCATGCCCAAAGATGGGTGGTCCCACCCTTCTTTTTGCTTCTCTCCGAGATGATATTTGCAATGCACCTCTGGGAAGAGAGCTTTGCCTTTCTTCTTCCTTTGCTATCTTTCATGAAGAAGAATTCAACGTCAGATGTTCTCAGCCTTCAGTTGTTTAAACTTTGGAGTCCCTTACAGAGCCAGGTGTTTCAGTCAGCTTCCTTCAGGCTAGCAGAGATGGCTTTTTATAAAGTAGAGCTACTTTCAGAAATTAGAATACATCCTGTCAAAGCAAGAAACAAATGTGGCTTTTGGCCAAAATTTGATTGTAGTGCTTGTTGTGATTTTATTTTTCATTTTCAGTGTGCCACATTCATAGCTATTTAATGCATTCAGTGACATAAGATATTTCTTAAAGTTCATATAAAACCGCTGTTGATAATGCAGATTATTTTGTGTTTTAGAACTTTTACATGGAAATGCACTAGGGGCTATTGCTTTCATGTGTATGTTGCAGTTATCTTACACAGGGAGCCTTGCAATGAGAGTGCTGTCTTCTAAATCCAGACCAAGAATGTTGCTCTTTCCTAAGCAGTCTGAAACTGTCAAACTTCTTCTTAGTGAGATAAGGTGGGTGAGATAATATCTTTAATTAGACCAGCTTCTGTTGGGGGGAGAGACAAGCTTTCAAGCTTACACAGAGCTCAAAAGCTTGTCTCTCTCACCACTAGAAGTTGGTCCAATAAACAATTATTACCTTACCCACCTTGTCTCTAATATCCTGTGACCAACACTGCTACAGAAACACTGCAAACTTCCTTATAGTCATTTGTCCAGTCTAGTTTGTGGGTGGTGCCATCAGAGCAGATTGTTTTTCCCCTTCTTTTTTCTTTTGCTATTTCTGCTCCACAGTTGTCATCCTTGATAAATCACTATATGGTTGTGTATGTGAAGGAGCATTTTAATTACAAAAAATTGTATACAAACGTTTGTGTATGTTAAGTATCATTGGAGTTGAGAGAGTCTGGAAATAGAATTGGAACCCTCTAATTTTGGACAGCTATGATGTGATAACCAGAGCAAGGATCATCAGGGTGACCTGTAAGGACCTTCTCATATTGTATATGAACTGCTGCTAAATGTCTGTTAGAATTGACATGTAAAATGATGGCTGTACTAATTGTATCACTGTATTGATGCTGAATGTACAATCTCTTCACAGTTATTTTCTCAGTTTTCATGGAGGGGAGGGTTCTGAAAAATAGGCGTCAATATATTTAGATCCAACGAACTTGGTATGTAACAGTATGGATGCCTGCCCTACCGCCCCCACCCCACCCTCTGTGGAAAAAACCCCAACCTGGCAACTCCATGAAACATCTGGAAACGTGAGATTAATACTGCTGTCCCTTGGAGGAAACTGTCCATAAGACTATTCAGGACCATTTTAGGGGTCCCCTCAGACTGTTTTACCTAGATCCTTGCATCTTGCATGAATG